AAGACTAAGCAGTCGTGACAGTAATAATAAGCGGTATGCGTCTTTGATCTTCAGACCTCAATAATGAGGATATGAAGTCTTTCGACCAATAATAATCCTTGCAGTTTCTAGTGCTGTGAAGATCCAACTGCTCTTTGAATGCTGCTATCACCTTTTCTGGTAAATCACCACTTGGTGAACAATTTTACTTCACTTTTTATTCGCTTCAAATGAAGTTTACTTCTTTATGTCTCAAAGTCGGATAGTTAGCTTCTCTCGAAAACGCACAAAGTTGACACACGATCCATTTCCAGTAGACAGTTCACTAGCCCACCCGCCAACAATGTTTGGCCAGAAGGCTCGCTTCCTCCTAAACAAGTAATGTCTTACTCACTCATAGAAACACTCAAAAATAGTTGGAATAAGCCTTGATTATCTTTGTATGCAACTCCGCCTGGAGTCATTCCGGGGGCTACTGCCGGATAAAAGAGGAGGGTTGGATATAAGGCTAGCAACACCATCCTATAGAACGACACGGATTTGGAGAAAGGAAAAATATGGTGAGAGATTTACAAACCTATGTGCCTTCAATAAACTGGTCATAGGCGGCACCATATTCCCACATAAACGCATTCACAAAACCACATGGACTTCACCGGATTACACAACACAAAACCGAATCGACCATACTTGCATCAACAAAAAGTTCAGGTGGACGATGGAGGACGTGAGAACAAACAGAGGAGCTGATATAGCATCAGATCATTACTTGCTGGTTGCCAAGATAAAACTGAAACCCAAGAAGCACTGGACAATGGGGCGGGAAATATCACGAAGTTTCAATACGGCCTTTCTTCGGGATACTAACAAACTCAACAAATTCAAGATAGTCCTCAGCAACAAGTTCCAGGCCTTTCACGATTTACTCAATGGAGAAGGAACTACTCTGGAGAGCGACTGGAAAGGGATAGAGGAGGCAATTACTTCAACATATCATGAGGTTCTGGGCCCCAAGAAGCACCAGCACAAGCAATAGATCTCTGTTGATACACTGGACAAGATTCAAAAGAAAAAGGAACAAGGAAGCAACAATCAATATTTGCTTAACAACAGCAGAGGAAGACAAGGTACTAGCTAAATTTAAAGAAACAAACAAGCAAGTGAAGAGGAGCATCAGTAGGACGAACGTAAATATGTATGAGATCTAGCAATGACGTTGGAAAAGGCTGCAAGAGAAGGAAACATGAGACAATTGTATGACAGGACAAAGAATCTCTTTAAAAATTATCGTAAACCAGAACGACTATTAAAAAGCAAGGAAGGCAAAGTAATCAACAACATCGAAGTACAGTGAAACAGGTCGGCAGAACACTTCAAAGAACTGTTGAATCGACCAGCCCCACTGAACACACCCAACATCAAAGCAGCACCCACGGACCTCCCAATCGATGTTGGCCCACCAACAATCGAAGAGATCAGCATGGCCATCAGATAAATCAAGAGCGGCAAAGCAGCCGGACCAGACAATATTCCAACAGACGCTGTGAAAGCAGACGTAACGGTAACTGCAGGATACTCCACACTCTCTTCAATAAGATTTGGGATGAGGAACAGGTACCAACAGACTGGAAAGAAGGACATCTAATCAAGATACCATAGAAAGGCGATCTCAGCAAGTGTGATAACAACAGGGGCATCACTCTTCTCTCAATACCAGGAAAAGTCTTCGACAGGATATTGTTAAATAGGATGAAGGACTGCGTAGACGCCCAACTTCGTGACCAACAGGCAGGATTCCGTAAGGATAAAACGTGTACAGACCAAATCGCAACTCTACGGATCATTGTGGAACAATCAACTGAATGGAATTCATCACTCTACGTCAACTTCATTGACTATGAAAAAGCATTTAACGGCGTGGACAGAACAACACTATGGAAACTTCTTCGACACTACGGCGTGCCTCAGAAAATAGTCAATATTATATGGAGTTCATATGATGGATTACACTGCAAAATAGTGCATGGAGGACAGGTGACTAAGTCGTTCGAAGTGAAAACCGGTGTTAGCTAAGGTTGATTACTCTCAACCTTTCTCTTTCTTCTGGTGATCGAATGGATCATGGAGACGTCAACATCTGATGGAAAACACGGGATACAATGGACATCTAGGATGCATATCTCGTGTAACCACAATTTCAACTCATCAGCTGGAAATCCTTCCTTACAGTTATCTACGAAAGTTGTGATTATGTATAGTACGCCTCAATCGTTGAAACGTGGTCACTATGGGTGTTGTCACTTTCCAGGTTGGGTCTGTTAAAACTATTGTAGTGAAGTTCCAGTTGGCTACGTGCTGAGTAAATTTTGTGTCCCTCTGTATCGACTCACTGTTTGGTAAAAGATTTTGACTTTAATCGATCATTGTTATGACCGAACAAAGTGGAAAAATCACTTGCTCCAGACGGACGTGTATATTACGAGTCTCTACAATAACCTATGTTATATTAAGGTGAATAGGTGAAATATATTGTTCGATTTAGGTCAAGTGTATCCTTGTGTTTACTAATTCGAATACGCCTTTCCAAAATATACCACGAATTTTGATCGAGATCTTAAACTGATTGATGTTAGACCACCACTGAAAACCTGGAAGCACTGGAAATTATTACGTAATAATCTCCACAACCCCATAATGATAATTACTACGTGCTCACGAGTGACTAGCTTCGTGAGGGAATTCTCGAAGTTCTATTGAGAAGCCATGGCCAGTTGAGCTAATCCGCGTCGAGTAGAGCCAGGTATCTACCTCAGTACAATGGAAGATGGTCACATAATTTCGTCGGTTGGTTGAGGTTATACATTAACACCATTGGATGCCGACCAAGTGGTCTCAAGCTGAAGCGTTCACGCGCGAGAATAAGGCCCTGAGTTCTAATCCCGCGAGCGGGACCGTGGATGTGCGCTGCTGGAGAGTCCCACAGTAGGACGAAACTGCCATCAAGGTTTTTAGTGGTGGTCTAACATCAATCCGTTCACGATCTCAATCAAAAACGTAATGATCTTCACAACCCCATAGTGATATATAACAAGAAGTTGGTTTTTGTCGACGTAAAGCTCTAATTTCTGAAAATCAATAAGTTTAGGTGATTACTGGATGTCTTTGCAAGTCTTAGCGATTAAAGTTCGGTTATTCTTAACAAGACGATAACAGAAATTATTCAACAAAAACGATTTTAAGTGAAAGCGGAAAAATAAATGGCTAAAGCGAAATACGATATTCATGAGTTAGAGGAACACGCAAGATAGTGGTATAAAAATAATGTATTTACTTTAAACACACTAGGTGAATCATCTCGGTGTATAAGGAGGAAAAAAATTGTCATAAACCATCCGATTTTGTAATAATAATACACTTACCAAAATATGAACATGAACATCCGGGTTCTTAAAGGCAAAATATATATTGTTATGCAAACTACATTTCAAATCGTAATCCCGTTTCTTAACTTTATCACCAAAATATGTGCAATATAAAAATTTCACCAAATTTTCTGATTGCTAAGATAACTTTTGTTGCTCGTCTTTTGTATAAACAATGGGAGTGACAGCTCTTTTTCTAGACAGGTAAATTTTTGTTGCCTTAATTCGAAAGCCAGCCTTTTATAAATGTCAGTATAGGGTTGTGGAGATTGTTGAGTTTAAGTTGATACCATTAATGGATGAATGCTAGAGCACCATTGAAAACGTGGAAGCACTGGACGGCCATTTTGTCCTAGTATGAAACTACCATGACATTATAGCTCCGTATTGATGTACTTCGATATTTGTCTGCCACTCTGAAAACCCTCTTATATGAGTGTTCAGGGTATATAATTTAAAACAATATTGTGAAATGGGAGGCAAACGGATCTAAACTTACAAACTATACAATTAACAAAACAGTCCAGCAAACTATTCGTTAAACCAAAGAATGAATGGAGTGGCGAACGCTTATCAGTTTTCTTTCGCATTTATAGATTTTATCTGAACAACAAAAATTTCGTGAAAGTTGGAATTATTTTGCTGCAGCCGGATAAACCAATATATATTTTTGTTTCAACTTGTTTTATCCATCAGAATACTCCAGTTAGCCATAAATCCTCAAAATTAACTTGGGTTTATAAATAAGTTGCAAAAAAGCAGAAATAAAATCCTTAATTATAGTTCTGACTAAAAGTAGTCAGTTGCACATATTCTTTAATAAGTGATTGAGGTTCTCGTGTAGTGAACACAAACACCAGTTGGGATAGTCGAATGTATTTGACATAGAATTACAGGACTTGTTAATAAAATCTAACAATGATAAAGTAAATGCTTAATTTGCAAAATGTCCACCAGTTGTCTCAAAATGAGTCAGACTTCATTGTTCTTGCAATTCATACAAATTGCATTTTGTTTCCATTATTTACTGTTCGATCCTCTTGTCTCTCTGCTGCCAGAACTTCTGTTCACGACTAACATCTTATACTACTTATGTCAATATAAGTAGCACACACTCGCGCCATTAACTTTAAGCCTTTTTATCTGACACTTATTTAGTAATGCAAATCATACTATGGACTAACAAAAACAGTTCCCTATTTAGTTAATAATAAATATCAGTGACTACGAATTAGCACGGCTCTTCAAGTGACCATTCTGTGACCGTTCATATATAATATAAAGAACTAGTTGGAATAAGCTGTGGTAGAACACATACAGCTTGCTTGTTTGAGTTAGTTTGTAACCTATATGAACGACTTATTCCATACACTTTGAATCAAAAAGTGACAAACAAACTAAAATCCTATTGTTTTACTAGTCTCATCAAATATTAGTCTCTAACTCAGTAGTCTATTCACAATATTTGTTTCCAATGGCCATATGACCACTAAAACTGACTTTTAACTTCATATAATGTATTATCAACTTATTCAAATGATTAAAACAACTAATTGAGCCTGATTTTAGTCTTACTGAGTTTATTTAACTTCAATTCCATCAGAGAGAACTTTTAATCTTCAAACCTTTCATAGATAACTTACTGTCAATAAAATTTTTGTCGGCCTCTTCTACATTACTTTCTTTTGAGATGAGAGACTCATATCCGCCTAAGTTATTTTCACTGATATTAACAGGTCCTGGTATAACAGACGTCCGCTGTTGGGAATATTTTGGATTTGCGTTCATAATTGACTTATTCATTGTATCATCATCATCATTATGACTTAATTTCTTCAACTCGTTTATTTCGTCTTCGCTGAAATCATTTAAATCTTCACAACTATTCTGGCATATTATCCGTGAATAAAAAAGTTGTGGATGAAAATTTACACGTCCTGTCTTTTTTTCATAGTTATCAGCAAAATATTCTTTTTCCTTCGATAATTCCAAGTTGAGTTCTGCCACACGTCTTCTCACATATGCATTAGAGTCATCAGAGTCATATGTTTCATCTTCTGCTAAATTTAATTCAATTTTATTCTGATCATTGCTTAAATGAAGTATTTTATTGTCTTTCCTAAGTTCCGCTTTGAATGCATCTTGAGTAACGTCATTTACTAGTGAACGTGCCAAAAATTTATCGTCTGGTGAACCTACCACTTAAAGGACGTATAATTGTTGAGATTTAACAATTTTGTTTATTTGTAATTTTTTATAAGTCCTCACGAGGATAATTCACAAAAAGAAACAAGATAAATAGAACAACAGTATAGTGATACTGCGTAAACAAAAACTAGAAATAACCAACTGGTAGTCATTCGGAGAAGGAGTTGTATAGCTTATGTTCCCCAAAATGTGCTCTTCCATATTTTTTAAACCATGTGACTAAGTAAATAAACACATATTACAAAGTTTGAGAATCGAATTCACCATGTTACTTCTGATAAAAATCTTGTGCAATTCTTGATGAACACTAATCATGTATATCGTTGAACTGTGGTTATTATCTAGAACTAATATTGGCGCTGTGACGTTACAGTTAAGATAAATAGTTAGACTACCTAAGGTAGCCTTAATAACATATTTAGCTCTTCGAACAGCGTCCAGGATTGAGACAGTAGAAAAGATAAGACACATAACCAAAATAACTAGTTTTGGCGTCCACTGACGGAGCTATGAAACTTCCTATACTCTGAATCAATATCTTATTTTGCCCACTGTAAATAGTTAGGTTTTGTTTCGTCTTTAATTAACATGAAAGTGAAATTTACATCAGGCCTTTTTTTACCGAAATATAGACCGGAGCATTAATACATCTTCCCCTAATAATACGTTTAAATCCATTATTTTTTCTGTAGACATTTACTGAACGTCAATTATAAATTATTAAGAATGACATTAAATATTGTCATCATCATCAACAGAAGACCTGACAAAACTAACTACATCATATTGGCCCTGAGAAACTACTGACAAAAGAACACGATTTTTAGTAACTAGGGAAAAACTGCAATATTCCTAATATTTTCTCTTCCATATCATTATTAGAAAGAGCTTGAGTTACGTTATCGTTGATAGTCGGAATGGATTTTGTAGTTATATGCACATCAAATGATGATCGCCTCGATATATGAGTCGTGTATATCATATAAGTATTATGTTCGTTCGATAAGCTGGTGATTGTCTGGACTCAGTAGCTCATGAATAACACGTGGAGTGTTCAAAGCGAAGGCTATTGCGTTTGAGTCTCAATGTATTATATCAACACCAGAATGCAGGGATATTGAGCTAAGGAACCCCAAATGAGTGGAAATGAGCTTCCTGGGTTCCACTGATAACCACGATCAATTCTCACTAACTTTCCCCCCATTTATATTCGCCTGTAGATTTATTATATAAGATGGTGGGGAAGTTTTCCGCATTCTATCAACAATAATTTATTGTCAGAGAAGGGTGTTTGTGGATATTATAGTAATTTCAATGGTTGAGATTATGAGCGAATTGAAGCTAGACCACCATGGAAAACCTTAGTAAACCAGGTAATCCTCAATGTTAGTTTTTATAGCAGGCATTGTAATATTTGAACTATAACTGCAATATTAACACCGTCTTCACATGCTTTTTAAGTACACAATTCTGGTTATTTCAACGCTATTCGTCACATTTTGTGGGCAAACCTTGCTTTAATTTATGACTAAACATTAACGATTTCACATTTGCGTTCGATATTACGGATGGATCAATATTGTACGGTCGTAACCTAAGCCAGATTAAGGCTCCATAACAAGCTTTACATGAAAGTTGAGTGGATAAATTTTGAAGTGAATTGGCTCTTGGAATTAACGGTTTGATTTGTAGATAATTACTGGTGTTTTTAAATGACTACGATGTTTGCATATTCATTTCCTTTACGTCAACGGTTTCTAGTTGATTTACATACTGATTATAAGTTGACATCGATATTGATCACCTTCTTATTTAACCATCACGTTTGTGAAACGTTCTAACTGGTTTTGTGATCTTTCCATCAGATCCTTTAAAATCTTGCGAAACATATCGCGTTAATGATCATTAATAACTACTATTGTGTAATTGTACATTACTATACTAAAACAGGCGATTGTTCTATTTGATGAAATTTAGTTGATAACACCAATAATGCAGAGATTTCTTGCAACAGACTTAAGTGTTTAGTCACCATCGTTCCTCTTAAGTTGCCCTCAAGCTACAGTAGTACTTAAAGCAACAAGATCAATAAATAGTCCTATTTGCTGATGCTTGAAGAATTCTCTGTGTTCGAGATGCACCGTGAATAGAGTTGCAAGATTCATTTTGATGGTTTTGTGCGTGAAAATCCCTCCATGTATACACGTGTAATTTATTCGTATTGATTCCTTCAGTTGTTCATTTTGTCAGTTTTTTATTCCATTTGCTTTGTTAGTACTTGTATTTTACTATAGGTTCCATTTTTCTTACGCCTTCACTGATATTCCATGTTTCTTCCTGAGCTGTATTTATGTTGTTTCAGTTGGTACTTAATCTTGGCGGCAGCCATATTTGTTTGTTCCCCCTTTTGATTGTGTTGCTTGCATCGACTGGAATTGTGCATTTTTGATTGTGAATTGAAGCACTTGTAGTGACTCACTTATATCACGAGAACATGATTGGTTTATTAAAAACAATTATTATTATAACCAATCGTAACAGTGACTGTTTTAATGTGCTTTTATTTAACTGGGCTAAAAAGCATCCATTATTCTTACACTTTGATTGTGACTTCGCGCGAATTCGGTTACGTTCTGTAACGAAGCTTGTATTCTGGCACGATCTCGGCGTCCTTTCGATACCACGAGATTGCCAGCTAATATATCTCGACTTGGTCCATTAACTGCCTTCTGATATTTGGCTTCCAGGGGATTTTATGGATTTATTTGGCACACGTTTCTCTGTAGCGGTGTTCATAGTCAATTTCGACTCGACTCCACGCTACATACTCTTCCAGAATTAGAAACACTCTGTTTTATAAGGCAACTAAATATCATCATTCGAACGAATCTGTACGTGATCTATCCAGAATAACTATCTAGAATAACATTTATTTGTTGCGATTGGTTTGCTTACTAATTGAAGAATCATTGATTTAGCAACTGGGTGGAAATATTGGTTTAGGTAATAACGTACATTTATATTTTTAAATAAAATCTAGAACCGTCATAAACCCTATCACCTTGTTTTGGTTTCAACGGGAAAAAAAGCGTGTCTAAACTACCCAGACGGTTTTTCTTCAGTCTAAGCCTTAGTTTGGATTCTACAAAAGTAAATTCATATTTTTTCACTACTTTATGAGAATTTAGCGGCGCAAACAAATCACGATGGTTTTGATGTTAATGACTTAATTTTCCAGGCTTTCTCCCAACGCTTCTGAGAATATCGCAGTATTTTTGTCACTGTAGATGGAACATTTGGAGCCGAACGGTCAAGACAACATATCGGGTAACAGTTCAGTCCTTAAATTGTTGTCACAACGTCATCGATGGTGAATTAAAAACTCTACTGTAGGTAACGGATGAAGGTTCCAGCCTGATTTCTTATTTTCTGATTATTCTTAAGATTCTAGTGTGTTGTTCGATTTGTGCCTGCCAATTTTTTCTCGTGGATTCTAAACAAACTTCTGTAGAAGTGTTGTTAGGGTTGATTGTAAGTAGTGGAACATGTACATTACTTCATTGACTGGGCGTCTGATCATTTCGAGCTCGCCGATGAAGTATTACTGCTTCGACCAACTTGCCATATCGTCTTGAAAAATTCTATTTGGTAGTCGCCACTTATCTTGGATGTGTCTGATTTGTGGGAGACGAAAAAAACGAATTTTTTAACGATTCTTCAAAGAACATGTTGCTTTAAATGTCTTTTGCAGCCTGGAAAATGTTTTCACAGAGGTATTGATGTTATACTATAAAATACGTCAGGGTTTTCTCACCCTAGTCAAAGTTATTCAATGTTTTATGATTGCTGTTTCACGTCATTCATCTTTTGTCCATCAAAACTGACCAATTGTTTGCGATTTTATTATTCATTAACTGTTGAAAGTCAGTGAAAACTGTATAATTATTTTTCATTGGGGTGCTAACCACGACCCTGTATCAAATATATTCAACAGTGGTGTTATGCCACAGATACCATACTTTTTCAGTCGAATTTCGAAATTTATTGATTATCAATTTTTGATTAACATATAAGCTATAGCTGTATGTGCCCCTATGGGAGCACTTCTGTAGCCGTACTTTTTATAGCTATCATTAGTACATCATCAGGTGGTTTTAAACTTAAATGCAACCAAATGAACTATCCCGAGTACACATTACATAATAATCGAAAACCTACAAAATATTCCAGTTAGAACTCGTATTAAATATATTATACTAGAATAACCTTACCTTCCTGTTTTTCACGATTCGCGGTCTCTTGATTTATTATTTCGTTTGTTGATGAGCTGTTTAATTCACAACGTTGATAACTTACTGTGTCATTTGTTGTTATTGCTCGATCTGGATTAAAATTTAATACATTATTGTAATTGGCTCATGGGTATTAAAGAATATCTACCATAGGAACAAACATAATCTTCTCTGATTACGTGAGAAGACATGAGATGGCTTGTTAATGAAACTATCTGTGTATTTCGAAAGTACGTTTCAAATGTACGAAAGTTCCACTTTGAAAATTTGATCAATTGTTGTCATGGTGATTTGCCCTCAGTTATTAAATTTACTCGATACAAATGTTATATACGAATTTATTTCTCAGCACTCACTCTATGTTTTACTGCACGGCAGTATGATAATTAGGTACATACATCCTAAAATTTATTTCAATCTTAGGAAACCACCGTAGGGAAAGACTGAAAAGGTACCATTTCTGAGATGTTAATTGATACTGTGTGAAAACTACAGAGGCATCAAACTAGTATCAGTAACAGGCAAAGTTTCCAAATGGGTTGTTTCTGAACAGAATGAGGGACTTAGCGAACCCTGACTTAGAGGCCAACAAACTGGCCTAAGCAAGAACAGATCATGTACTTATCATATAGCGTCAATGGATCGTCGTTCAACAAACGAGTAAATGACACTGCCATTGTTTGAAGAAAAAATAAGCCTTAAAGAGATGAAATGTTCATAACGCAATTTAAAAACTCAGGATCTAAGGACGATAAGAGTAAACGCACCGTCTTAGTCACAAAGTAAACACCGATGTCAATTCGTTATTTGAACCTTAAGGTTATTGAACTACAGACTGTGTATTCAGAGTGTTAACAATCCTTACACATATAAAACTTTTCTGGAGATATTTATTTGAGCTTTTTAATTTTAAGTCATAATTAGCTGGTGTAAGTCAGATATATCCACATATACTTTTGCCAAGAGTCTTGGTTTTGAACCTGCTCTTTCTGCAATGCTCTCACATATCTTTCACTGTTGAAACCTTCTCATCATTTAGCTTATTCCTAATTACATAATCTGCTTATACTATGATTGTTTCTAGTGGATCTATGAAAATTTTCAAATGACCTGTCACTGAAAGTCTAGCGAAATCCAGATAGAAAGGTTGCAGCTTATAGTATCTCTTAGTTTACATTCTAAAAGTTTTAGCTTCAGCATCAAAAACACTAGGGAATTTGGTCTAAGAGCAACCAATAAAGAGTGCAGTCTGCTTCATGTTGAAACGTCTACCTCCCTTACGTATATAAACCTCGGCGCAAATACGTCAGGTATAACAGTTTAGTTTTACTTTGGTACAGTTCAAACCCAAACATAAATGAGGAATGTATGGAAGGGTTTCGCAATAAAGCATCTCTACAATACAGCAAAATGTTAAAATGAACATGTACAATGAGATCTATAACGCTACCAAGGAATTGTTAAAAGACACATAATAGTAACTTGTCATACAGGAAGTGATCCTAGCAACCATTCAGCGGTATAATATCATGTGTGCTTACTCAAGCCTATTATCCCTTCAAATACTTGAACCACCGACAAGAAATAATTAATCAGTTCCTTCGAACCTGCCTTTCTGGTAGCCCCTAAATTCTACTCATACTCTCGATGTTCGATTTTGATTTCTGTGTGTGAAGAATAAAAAATCTCAGTCATCAAAGTTCACACCGTCCATTGCATTCAGTGCTTACCCTGAGTTGCAAAGCTGTTATCAATCCAGTCAAAAACCAGAGGAACGAGGAAAGGCGAAAACAGACGGCCTTTTGCGATATCAGTAGCCACTTGAAACACAATTGTGAGCATCCTTCCTTATGAAACATAACAATTTATTTCTGTAAAATGATAACGATATTTTAACGAACCATATTATGTTGAAGAATATTCCTCAAAGCCTTCCACACAATCCATACTGTTGAGTGCTGTCTCATAATCGAGAAATTCGACATATGACTAAAAGTGTCATCCACTCGTCTGTTGAACGACGATCCAGTGACGCTATATGATAAGTACATGATCTGTTCTTGCTTAGGCCAGTTTGTTGGCCTCTAAGTCAGGGTTCGCTAAGTCCCTCATTCTGTTCAGAAACAACCCATTTGGAAACTTTGCCTGTTACTGATACTAGTTTGATGCCTCTGTAGTTTTCACACAGTATCAATTAACATCTCAGAAATGGTACCTTTTCAGTCTTTCCCTACGGTGGTTTCCTAAGATTGAAATAAATTTTAGGATGTATGTACCTAATTATCATACTGCCGTGCAGTAAAACATAGAGTGAGTGCTGAGAAATAAATTCGTATATAACATTTGTATCGAGTAAATTTAATAACTGAGGGCAAATCACCATGACAACAATTGATCAAATTTTCAAAGTGGAACTTTCGTACATTTGAAACGTACTTTCGAAATACACAGATAGTTTCATTAACAAGCCATCTCATGTCTTCTCACGTAATCAGAGAAGATTATGTTTGTTCCTATGGTAGATATTCTTTAATACCCATGAGCCAATTACAATAATGTATTAAATTTTAATCCAGATCGAGCAATAACAACAAATGACACAGTAAGTTATCAACGTTGTGAATTAAACAGCTCATCAACAAACGAAATAATAAATCAAGAGACCGCGAATCGTGAAAAACAGGAAGGTAAGGTTATTCTAGTATAATATATTTAATACGAGTTCTAACTGGAATATTTTGTAGGTTTTCGATTATTATGTAATGTGTACTCGGGATAGTTCATTTGGTTGCATTTAAGTTTAAAACCACCTGATGATGTACTAATGATAGCCATAAAAAGTACGGCTACAGAAGTGCTCCCATAGGGGCACATACAGCTATAGCTTATATGTTAATCAAAAATTGATAATCAATAAATTTCGAAATTCGACTGAAAAAGTATGGTATCTGTGGCATAACACCACTGTTGAATATATTTGATACAGGGTCGTGGTTAGCACCCCAATGAAAAATAATTATACAGTTTTCACTGACTTTCAACAGTTAATGAATAATAAAATCGCAAACAATTGGTCAGTTTTGATGGACAAAAGATGAATGACGTGAAACAGCAATCATAAAACATTGAATAACTTTGACTAGGGTGAGAAAACCCTGACGTATTTTATAGTATAACATCAATACCTCTGTGAAAACATTTTCCAGGCTGCAAAAGACATTTAAAGCAACATGTTCTTTGAAGAATCGTTAAAAAATTCGTTTTTTTCGTCTCCCACAAATCAGACACATCCAAGATAAGTGGCGACTACCAAATAGAATTTTTCAAGACGATATGGCAAGTTGGTCGAAGCAGTAATACTTCATCGGCGAGCTCGAAATGATCAGACGCCCAGTCAATGAAGTAATGTACATGTTCCACTACTTACAATCAACCCTAACAACACTTCTACAGAAGTTTGTTTAGAATCCACGAGAAAAAATTGGCAGGCACAAATCGAACAACACACTAGAATCTTAAGAATAATCAGAAAATAAGAAATCAGGCTGGAACCTTCATCCGTTACCTACAGTAGAGTTTTTAATTCACCATCGATGACGTTGTGACAACAATTTAAGGACTGAACTGTTACCCGATATGTTGTCTTGACCGTTCGGCTCCAAATGTTCCATCTACAGTGACAAAAATACTGCGATATTCTCAGAAGCGTTGGGAGAAAGCCTGGAAAATTAAGTCATTAACATCAAAACCATCGTGATTTGTTTGCGCCGCTAAATTCTCATAAAGTAGTGAAAAAATATGAATTTACTTTTGTAGAATCCAAACTAAGGCTTAGACTGAAGAAAAACCGTCTGGGTAGTTTAGACACGCTTTTTTTCCCGTTGAAACCAAAACAAGGTGATAGGGTTTATGACGGTTCTAGATTTTATTTAAAAATATAAATGTACGTTATTACCTAAACCAATATTTCCACCCAGTTGCTAAATCAATGATTCTTCAATTAGTAAGCAAACCAATCGCAACAAATAAATGTTATTCTAGATAGTTATTCTGGATAGATCACGTACAGATTCGTTCGAATGATGATATTTAGTTGCCTTATAAAACAGAGTGTTTCCAATTCTGGAAGAGTATGTAGCGTGGAGTCGAGTCGAAATTGACTATGAACACCGCTACAGAGAAACGTGTGCCAAATAAATCCATAAAATCCCCTGGAAGCCAAATATCAGAAGGCAGTTAATGGACCAAGTCGAGATATATTAGCTGGCAATCTCGTGGTATCGAAAGGACGCCGAGATCGTGCCAGAATACAAGCTTCGTTACAGAACGTAACCGAATTCGCGCGAAGTCACAATCAAAGTGTAAGAATAATGGATGCTTTTTAGCCCAGTTAAATAAAAGCACATTAAAACAGTCACTGTTACGATTGGTTATAATAATAATTGTTTTTAATAAACCAATCATGTTCTCGTGATATAAGTGAGTCACTACAAGTGCTTCAATTCACAATCAAAAATGCACAATTCCAGTCGATGCAAGCAACACAATCAAAAGGGGGAACAAACAAATATGGCTGCCGCCAAGATTAAGTACCAACTGAAACAACATAAATACAGCTCAGGAAGAAACATGGAATATCAGTGAAGGCGTAAGAAAAATGGAACCTATAGTAAAATACAAGTACTAACAAAGCAAATGGAATAAAAAACTGACAAAATGAACAACTGAAGGAATCAATACGAATAAATTACACGTGTATACATGGAGGGATTTTCACGCACAAAACCATCAAAATGAATCTTGCAACTCTATTCACGGTGCATCTCGAACACAGAGAATTCTTCAAGCATCAGCAAATAGGACTATTTATTGATCTTGTTGCTTTAAGTACTACTGTAGCTTGAGGGCAACTTAAGAGGAACGATGGTGACTAAACACTTAAGTCTGTTGCAAGAAATCTCTGCATTATTGGTGTTATCAACTAAATTTCATCAAATAGAACAATCGCCTGTTTTAGTATAGTAATGTACAATTACACAATAGTAGTTATTAATGATCATTAACGCGATATGTTTCGCAAGATTTTAAAGGATCTGATGGAAAGATCACAAAACCAGTTAGAACGTTTCACAAACGTGATGGTTAAATAAGAAGGTGATCAATATCGATGTCAATTTATAATCAGTATGTAAATCAACTAGAGACCGTTGACGTAAAGGAAATGAATATGCAAACATTGTAGTCATTTAAAAACACCAGTAATTATCTACAAATCAAACCGTTAATTCCAAGAGCCAATTCACTTCAAAATTTATCCACTCAACTTTCATGTAAAGCTTGTTATGGAGCCTTAATCTGGCTTAGGTTACGACCGTACAATATTGATCCATCCGTAATATCGAACGCAAATGTGAAATCGTTAATGTTTAGTCATAAATTAAAGCAAGGTTTGCCCACAAAATGTGACGAATAGCGTTGAAATAACCAGAATTGTGTACTTAAAAAGCATGTGAAGACGGTGTTAATATTGCAGTTATAGTTCAAATATTACAATGCCTGCTATAAAAACTAACATTGAGGATTACCTGGTTTACTAAGGTTTTCCATGGTGGTCTAGCTTCAATTCGCTCATAATCTCAACCATTGAAATTACTATAATATCCACAAACACCCTTCTCTGACAATAAATTATTGTTGATAGAATGCGGAAAACTTCCCCACCATCTTATATAATAAATCTACAGGCGAATATAAATGGGGGGAAAGTTAGTGAGAATTGATCGTGGTTATCAGTGGAACCCAGGAAGCTCATTTCCACTCATTTGGGGTTCCTTAGCTCAATATCCCTGCATTCTGGTGTTGATATAATACATTGAGACTCAAACGCAATAGCCTTCGCTTTGAACACTCCACGTGTTATTCATGAGCTACTGAGTCCAGACAATCACCAGCTTATCGAACGAACATAATACTTATATGATATACACGACTCATATATCGAGGCGATCATCATTTAATGTGCATATAACTACAAAATCCATTCCGACTATCAACGATAACGTAACTCAAGCTCTTTCTAATAATGATATGGAAGAGAAAATATTAGGAATATTGCAGTTTTTCCCTAGTTACTAAAAATCGTGTTATTTTGTCAGTAGTTTCTCAGGACCAATATGATGTAGTTAGTTTTGTCAGGTCTTCTGTTGATGATGATGACAATATTTAATGTCATTCTTAATAATTTATAATTGACGTTCAGTAAATGTCTACAGAAAAAATAATGGATTTAAACGTATTATTAGGGGAAGATGTATTAATGCTCCGGTCTATATTTCGGTAAAAAAAGGCCTGATGTAAATTTCACTTTCATGTTAATTAAAGACGAAACAAAACCTAACTATTTACAGTGGGCAAAATAAGATATTGATTCAGAGTATAGGAAGTTTCATAGCTCCGTCAGTGGACGCCAAAACTAGTTATTTTGGTTATGTGTCTTATCTTTTCTACTGTCTCAATCCTGGACGCTGTTCGAAGAGCTAAATATGTTATTAAGGCTACCTTAGGTAGTCTAACTATTTATCTTAACTGTAACGTCACAGCGCCAATATTAGTTCTAGATAATAACCACAGTTCAACGATATACATGATTAGTGTTCATCAAGAATTGCACAAGATTTTTATCAGAAGTAACATGGTGAATTCGATTCTCAAACTTTGTAATATGTGTTTATTTACTTAGTCACATGGTTTAAAAAATATGGAAGAGCACATTTTGGGGAACATAAGCTATACAACTCCTTCTCCGAATGACTACCAGTTGGTTATTTCTAGTTTTTGTTTACGCAGTATCACTATACTGTTGTTCTATTTATCTTGTTTCTTTTTGTGAATTATCCTCGTGAGGACTTATAAAAAATTACAAATAAACAAAATTGTTAAATCTCAACAATTATACGTCCTTTAAGTGGTAGGTTCACCAGACGATAAATTTTTGGCACGTTCACTAGTAAATGACGTTACTCAAGATGCATTCAAAGCGGAACTTAGGAAAGACAATAAAATACTTCATTTAAGCAATGATCAGAATAAAATTGAATTAAATTTAGCAGAAGATGAAACATATGACTCTGATGACTCTAATGCATATGTGAGAAGACGTGTGGCAGAACTCAACTTGGAATTATCGAAGGAAAAAGAATATTTTGCTGATAACTATGAAAAAAAGACAGGACGTGTAAATTTTCATCCACAACTTTTTTATTCACGGATAATATGCCAGAATAGTTGTGAAGATTTAAATGATTTCAGCGAAGACGAAATAAACGAGTTGAAGAAATTAAGTCATAATGATGATGATGATACAATGAATAAGTCAATTATGAACGCAAATCCAAAATATTCCCAACAGCGGACGTCTGTTATACCAGGACCTGTTAATATCAGTGAAAATAACTTAGGCGGATATGAGTCTCTCATCTCAAAAGAAAGTAATGTAGAAGAGGCCGACAAAAATTTTATTGACAGTAAGTTATCTATGAAAGGTTTGAAGATTAAAAGTTCTCTCTGATGGAATTGAAGTTAAATAAACTCAGTAAGACTAAAATCAGGCTCAATTAGTTGTTTTAATCATTTGAATAAGTTGATAATACATTATATGAAGTTAAAAGTCAGTTTTAGTGGTCATATGGCCATTGGAAACAAATATTGTGAATAGACTACTAAGTTAGAGACTAATATTTGATGAGACTAGTAAAACAATAGGATTTTAGTTTGTTTGTCACTTTTTGATTCAAAGTGTATGGAATAAGTCGTTCATATAGGTTACAAACTAACTCAAACAAGCAAGCTGTATGTGTTCTACCACAGCTTATTCCAACTAGTTCTTTATATTATATATGAACGGTCACAGAATGGTCACTTGAAGAGCCGTGCTAATTCGTAGTCACTGATATTTATTATTAACTAAATAGGGAACTGTTTTTGTTAGTCCATAGTATGATTTGCATTACTAAATAAGTGTCAGATAAAAAGGCTTAAAGTTAATGGCGCGAGTGTGTGCTACTTATATTGACATAAGTAGTATAAGATGTTAGTCGTGAACAGAAGTTCTGGCAGCAGAGAGACAAGAGGATCGAACAGTAAATAATGGAAACAAAATGCAATTTGTATGAATTGCAAGAACAATGAAGTCTGACTCATTTTGAGACAACTGGTGGACATTTTGCAAATTAAGCATTTACTTTATCATTGTTAGATTTTATTAACAAGTCCTGTAATTCTATGTCAAATACATTCGACTATCCCAACTGGTGTTTGTGTTCACTACACGAGAACCTCAATCACTTATTAAAGAATATGTGCAACTGACTACTTTTAGTCAGAACTATAATTAAGGATTTTATTTCTGCTTTTTTGCAACTTATTTATAAACCCAAGTTAATTTTGAGGATTTATGGCTAACTGGAGTATTCTGATGGATAAAACAAGTTGAAACAAAAATATATATTGGTTTATCCGGCTGCAGCAAAATAATTCCAACTTTCACGAAATTTTTGTTGTTCAGATAAAATCTATAAATGCGAAAGAAAACTGATAAGCGTTCGCCACTCCATTCATTCTTTGGTTTAACGAATAGTTTGCTGGACTGTTTTGTTAATTGTATAGTTTGTAAGTTTAGATCCGTTTGCCTCCCATTTCACAATATTGTTTTAAATTATATACCCTGAACACTCATATAAGAGGGTTTTCAGAGTGGCAGACAAATATCGAAGTACATCAATACGGAGCTATAATGTCATGGTAGTTTCATACTAGGACAAAATGGCCGTCCAGTGCTTCCACGTTTTCAATGGTGCTCTAGCATTCATCCATTAATGGTATCAACTTAAACTCAACAATCTCCACAACCCTATACTGACATTTATAAAAGGCTGGCTTTCGAATTAAGGCAACAAAAATTTACCTGTCTAGAAAAAGAGCTGTCACTCCCATTGTTTATACAAAAGACGAGCAACAAAAGTTATCTTAGCAATCAGAAAATTTGGTGAAATTTTTATATTGCACATATTTTGGTGATAAAGTTAAGAAACGGGATTACGATTTGAAATGTAGTTTGCATAACAATATATATTTTGCCTTTAAGAACCCGGATGTTCATGTTCATATTTTGGTAAGTGTATTATTATTACAAAATCGGATGGTTTATGACAATTTTTTTCCTCCTTATACACCGAGATGATTCACCTAGTGTGTTTAAAGTAAATACATTATTTTTATACCACTATCTTGCGTGTTCCTCTAACTCATGAATATCGTATTTCGCTTTAGCCATTTATTTTTCCGCTTTCACTTAAAATCGTTTTTGTTGAATAATTTCTGTTATCGTCTTGTTAAGAATAACCGAACTTTAATCGCTAAGACTTGCAAAGACATCCAGTAATCACCTAAACTTATTGATTTTCAGAAATTAGAGCTTTACGTCGACAAAAACCAACTTCTTGTTATATATCACTATGGGGTTGTGAAGATCATTACGTTTTTGATTGAGATCGTGAACGGATTGATGTTAGACCACCACTAAAAACCTTGATGGCAGTTTCGTCCTACTGTGGGACTCTCCAGCAGCGCACATCCACGGTCCCGCTCGCGGGATTAGAACTCAGGGCCTTATTCTCGCGCGTGAACGCTTCAGCTTGAGACCACTTGGTCGGCATCCAATGGTGTTAATGTATAACCTCAACCAACCGACGAAATTGTGTGACTATCTTCCATTGTACTGAGGTAGATACCTGGCTCTACTCGACGCGGATTAGCTCAACTGGCCATGGCTTCTCAATAGAACTTCGAGAATTCCCTCACGAAGCTAGTCACTCGTGAGCACGTAGTAATTATCATTATGGGGTTGTGGAGATTATTACGTAATAATTTCCAGTGCTTCCAGGTTTTCAGTGGTGGTCTAACATCAATCAGTTTAAGATCTCGATCAAAATTCGTGGTATATTTTGGAAAGGCGTATTCGAATTAGTAAACACAAGGATACACTTGACCTAAATCGAACAATATATTTCACCTATTCACCTTAATATAACATAGGTTATTGTAGAGACTCGTAATATACACGTCCGTCTGGAGCAAGTGATTTTTCCACTTTGTTCGGTCATAACAATGATCGATTAAAGTCAAAATCTTTTACCAAACAGTGAGTCGATACAGAGGGACACAAAATTTACTCAGCACGTAGCCAACTGGAACTTCACTACAATAGTTTTAACAGACCCAACCTGGAAAGTGACAACACCCATAGTGACCACGTTTCAACGATTGAGGCGTACTATACATAATCACAACTTTCGTAGATAACTGTAAGGAAGGATTTCCAGCTGATGAGTTGAAATTGTGGTTACACGAGATATGCATCCTAGATGTCCATTGTATCCCGTGTTTTCCATCAGATGTTGACGTCTCCATGATCCATTCGATCACCAGAAGAAAGAGAAAGGTTGAGAGTAATCAACCTTAGCTAACACCGGTTTTCACTTCGAACGACTTAGTCACCTGTCCTCCATGCACTATTTTGCAGTGTAATCCATCATATGAACTCCATATAATATTGACTATTTTCTGAGGCACGCCGTAGTGTCGAAGAAGTTTCCATAGTGTTGTTCTGTCCACGCCGTTAAATGCTTTTTCATAGTCAATGAAGTTGACGTAGTGATGAATTCCATTCAGTTGATTGTTCCACAATGATCCGTAGAGTTGCGATTTGGTCTGTACACGTTTTATCCTTACGGAATCCTGCCTGTTGGTCACGAAGTTGGGCGTCTACGCAGTCCTTCATCCTATTTAACAATATCCTGTCGAAGACTTTTCCTGGTATTGAGAGAAGAGTGATGCCCCTGTTGTTATCACACTTGCTGAGATCGCCTTTCTATGGTATCTTGATTAGATGTCCTTCTTTCCAGTCTGTTGGTACCTGTTCCTCATCCCAAATCTTATTGAAGAGAGTGTGGAGTATCCTGCAGTTACCGTTACGTCTGCTTTCACAGCGTCTGTTGGAATATTGTCTGGTCCGGCTGCTTTGCCGCTCTTGATTTATCTGATGGCCATGCTGATCTCTTCGATTGTTGGTGGGCCAACATCGATTGGGAGGTCCGTGGGTGCTGCTTTGATGTTGGGTGTGTTCAGTGGGGCTGGTCGATTCAACAGTTCTTTGAAGTGTTCTGCCGACCTGTTTCACTGTACTTCGATGTTGTTGATTACTTTGCCTTCCTTGCTTTTTAATAGTCGTTCTGGTTTACGATAATTTTTAAAGAGATTCTTTGTCCTGTCATACAATTGTCTCATGTTTCCTTCTCTTGCAGCCTTTTCCAACGTCATTGCTAGATCTCATACATATTTACGTTCGTCCTACTGATGCTCCTCTTCACTTGCTTGTTTGTTTCTTTAAATTTAGCTAGTACCTTGTCTTCCTCTGCTGTTGTTAAGCAAATATTGATTGTTGCTTCCTTGTTCCTTTTTCTTTTGAATCTTGTCCAGTGTATCAACAGAGATCTATTGCTTGTGCTGGTGCTTCTTGGGGCCCAGAACCTCATGATATGTTGAAGTAATTGCCTCCTCTATCCCTTTCCAGTCGCTCTCCAGAGTAGTTCCTTCTCCATTGAGTAAATCGTGAAAGGCCTGGAACTTGTTGCTGAGGACTATCTTGAACTGGATTCAGTTTGGATTATGCAATATAAATTTTATCATGTGGCTCCTCGATATCATTTACCAGTTAACTTTATTATGTATTAAGTTTACATAGTTAAAATATTTTAATTTTCCACTTATATAAACAGACCTTCAAGCAAATGATCAATAACTTGTTTTTAGATACAAATGTTACACATACAGACGAAGTAACAAGGACGAAGAAGTACCGAAAAACTTCAATCAACGAGCGAGATAACGATATTACTAAAATAATAACTAAGCATGTAAGTAATCAAAAAAATGAAAGGACATGTAGTTCTCAGTTTCAAAATAAAAATGATAAGCCGTTCACCGAGAAAGCGAAGGAAAATTCTATCCAAGTAAGTGATAAATTACAAGGTTATTTTCATTTATCTGAAAATATTAGTAAATTAGTAGTCGCATACTACTCACAACAGTCCTTTTCCGACCAAGTATCAAAGTCAAATGTGATTAGCAATTTGAGGTATTTACTCTGGAGATGAGTGGAGAATTCGCAAAAACCTTATTACCTTTAATTTAATCCTTGGTTTTGCGGTTACTAACTAATAAGTAACTTAGTCTTATCTAGGTTATACATATACTAGAGTTGAAAAAGGTTAGGTGATTCATAGTTTCAAACATTTGTGCAGCTGTTTTTTAAGTGGAAAACAATGCTGAAGAAAGCTTCGATTGATCTAACACTGATTAGCCGTCCGCCATACGTCAGTTTACCGTAGATAAATTTTATGTTTCCTTTCATTTTTTTTGAAAATGGTATATTTAAACAAAGAAACTGTTTTTAAAATACACTACTGATTTTCTGAATTCATAAAGGTGTGGCACCGACTTAAATATCAGGAATACATGGAAGTTAAGGTGGAGGAGAGGGAAAAACACAAAAGAGAACATATTCGAAAAAAAGAAGTAGGTTTGATTCTGATAACAATAAATGTAGTACAATATATATTTGAAAAAATAAATAGGGAAACCCTTAAAATGAATATATTCTTACACAAAACTCGTCTAAATTTCCATGAAAATTAGATTGCAGATAAAAAATCACGTGATCAGAAATTATCAAACTGGTTAAGAGCAAAAGTTTTACAAAGAAAAAGTGAAGAGGAAATGAGACGATATGAAAATGAAGAACAACAACATCTGAATGTTGTGCATTCCAGAGAGGCATGTGAGCAAGCATTTAAACAGTAAGTTGGCACGATTGTTAGACTATCTAATTTGTGATGAATGAATGTAATCTATAATCATTTGGATTTGTGAAGTGTTGTGTTCTGTGGCCTGCTAAATATGTCACGTGTTTAGATTGTCCAGTTAAAACAGGGACTCCCATGACCTTGATGCTATATCAGACCAATGACGGATTAAGAAGTATGAAGAGCGTATGGTCAACTCTGAGTCCAGAACACAGCTTCTACTATATGAATCGCGTATTTCAGACATAGGCAGTTTAAATACAAGCAAATTAGACCGCATCATACCATGAAGTAGAAAACAACAATTATACAAGATCTGACCAAATGTGTATGAGTAAGATACTGTAACTAATAAATTGGTAATAAATTAACAATAGTAAATCGTATATTAGTAGTCAATAGGTCAAATAGATAAAATATATGTATAAAATACTTCAGTTATCTAATAAGAACATATATATGGTAACAGTCCAAAAATAGTTCCCAGAAGTCATCCATAATTTAATCTTCGCTAGGATATAACATGGAGAAGCTGTAAAGTTGACTATTTCCATTAATATAGTCTACAGAAGAAAGTGAACTGTGTTAGATTAAGGACCAACAAAGTATGCACTTAAACGAAGACCGTATCTCGTTCAGCTTGTTATCAAGGCGATATCACATTTACCATGAGTATTTGTAGTTAAAACAAAGTCAACTGTTTGGTATGGTATTCAGTAAAGAATTTTAAAAGGAACGAACTAAATATAAAACAGCACTTTCCACTTATTGGTCTAATGCATATTCTGGATTATCCTGTAATTCATATTGAGTGACATATTTGGACTGCAAATTTAAAGGGTTTAAAGCCTTAAAGAATGCAAAGTATTTACATATTATGACCCCTTTTTTACTGGAAGTTTTTAAAGGTAAGGTTAACCCTTGAAAATACTCTGAATCTCACTAAAACATTCCAATTTCAATTAAAAGATACTCAATATAAAAATAATACAAAGCCATCGTACGTCAACTCATTCATCAGGTACTCTACTATGAGTTACATTCCAACTGCGAGAACTAATGATACTGCCCCCGTGCAAAAACCGGAATAGGCGAGAGGGTTCGAAACGGACTGAAAGATGACTGCCTTAAGAACTAGGCAACCGCTCAACGAAAGCTACATAGAATTTTGTTTAGATAATTTGTTTCCGTAAACCGTTATTATCACACTTCGACAATGAGGGGGTATAATTTTACTTTTTAATTCTAAAGAACAGCTTATCATAAACATTTGTGTGCTTGATTGAAAGTGTGAACTCTGACAAATCTACTCGGAATATTATATCGAACGGGATGAAAGGTTAGGGTACCTTCTTAATTCACACTGTAATGTAACTATATTCATTTTACAACCGCGTGTGTAGTCCAAAGGAAAGTAATGGCTCTACGAAGTAACCCTATAAGGAGTGCGCGTTTTATTGTGATATCTGTTCAGTTGAACAAACGTTTACACAAAAAGATGTTTGTACATAAACTTCTAGAAAACAGATGAAATGCCTTTTCGCTTCATATAAATGTAGACTTTAAATCCGATCTCAGTATTTAAAAACGTTTCCGTTTCAGGTTAAAAAACAATGAAATAGTGTAACATCACGGCTGTGGCTTACAAAGACAATGCATTCAGCGAACTAATTGAGATATTGCTAATTCACAATCACGCCAACTTAGAGTGATATTTTGTAGTGTGGGATATCTATCATAGAGTTGAACATTATTTCAATGATTTCACTTATAGCACAATTTCATTGACTTGGCGAACCTTCTATCTAGTTTCAGGAACCATATATTCAAGGTGATGAAATCAATTTTAAATAGGAATCCACATTAGGTATCATTACCAAGGTTTGGTTTGATAATTTCGAATAAATTGAACATTGGGGAGATTGTTATAAATAAATAGTATATTTGTAATATCCCAATGAATAGAAAAATTAGATTTTCTGACGTTTCGTGGCTTATTGTGGATCACTTCTTCAGAGAATAAATAACCAAATTAAAATTAATTCAAGTTTATTGTTTCATTGTACTATTTAAACTTGGATTAATTTTAATGTGATTATTTATTCTCTGAAGAAGTGACCTACAATAAGCCACGAAACGTCAGAAAATCTAATTTTTCTATTCATTGGGATATTACAAATATGCCATTTATTTATAGGAATCCACATTGTTGCACGAGATTGAATTATAGAATCCAATTTAACTTAAAATAACACCAAGGACTTTTTTCTCTAATCAGGTGGCTGAAGAGAAAAAATCGCGAGGCGAAAGAACAAAAACGGAGGGCGAAAGAGCGGATGAAAATCACACGACAGTTAATGAGAGGTAATCATGATTGGCAACAGTTCATGAAAAACATCCGAAAATTCGACGTATTTAAGATCCTACTTTGAGCAAAAATATTTAATCCATTACGTGTTGCACAATGCATGTGGTTTCGACAAGTCGGAGCAGAAATCATTTTCACGTTCATTTTTACTGAGTATGCCTTTGAAATGTTGAAAATTAGGGTGAGTATTCGATATGTTTTATTGTAACACAAAATATGAAGTACTTTCTCGTCTTATTCGATTGTTTACCAAAAAATGTTGAATGTAATATCTTCTATATAAGTAAGCCCAGTTGACAAAGCTAAAACTATCATTCAGGGAAGTCCTATCTACTGCAATAACTTGACTGCATTGCCCTCACAAGTGCTAGAGTGTAACATTTATCTGACCGCCGAAACCGGCTGGTAGATCATCATGTAGGATTTTACACAAATGTGTAGTTATCATATTTAACATACCAAACGTCTCAATAATTTGAAATTAACGATATGATTAGTAGAAAATGGGAATCAGATGCAGTAGAAAGCTCGAAATGGAAAACACAAAAATGAACAAATAAGGTCGAATAATCCAAAGTACAATGACCACAATCAGAGTAATGTGAGGGGATGGAAGCAAAGCTTTATACCCAAACTTAGGGTTCGCCAAAGCTGAGAATAGAAGTACCATAGGAAATGTCAGGGACTCGAGATAGCCTTGATAACTACCATTATCCGTTCACACGATGGGGAGGTGAAAGCCACATCGGAGAATATTTCAACCATACAAATTGTGATTCTGAAGATTTCAATTATCAGTTTGGGTGCTTGCCCATAGAGAACTCATTTCTAGGATCAGAGGGTGTCAGGTGACTACTGGTCAAATGAAATGGACAATCTTAGGAAGTATTACGCAGTTTATAACTAATTTCGGCCAGTATCACTGTGGTGTGAGCTACTTATATTGATATAAGTAGTTTATAACGTGCGTTAAAGGAACGTAATGTCTGGCAGCAAAAGATGGCGAAGATCAAGGAAGGTAGAGCGAGGACATAATGGAATTTGCAAGAAAACCTATGAACAATGGAATGGGAGACAATGGATTGGTGTTTGCAACAGAAACAGTCTGGTTTGATTTGATACATGAATATTTTACAAATTGACGATTTACTATATGGTATTCGGATATTGTTGAAATAGACTGTAATTGTTGTGCTAAATACATCCGTTTGTCTCCACCCGTGTTCTTGTCGCTACCAACCAGGAGAGGAGGAGGGTGCTGTTCTGAGGACGCCGTTGCGGGCCTGGTGCTGGGGTGCCAGTTGGGGCAGTCTGGTGCGGAGGTGGCGTCTGGTGGAGTGTTCTGGTGGGGCGGCGTTGGCTGCAGCGGGTGCTGTCGACGAAGAGGTGCAGTGGGACGCGCGGCTGCTGGGCGGACATCGGATGTAGATGGCTCAGCAGGCCGATGGAGTACGGGTGTCAAGCGTCCCAGGTGCCGGGTGTATGTCGGTTGTTGTTTCCCCGGCAGGTCGACGGAGCTATGGAAGTCAGCGCGCCGCAGACTCGACACTTTGATGGAGAGCGTGGCACAGGCTGCAGAGACGGGGAATTTTGCACGGCGAGCATGAACCACCGCAAGAACGTCTGCTTTAAAGGGGGGACGAGTGTGGTGTGAGCTACTTATAATGATATAAGTAGTATATGACGTGCGTTAAAGGAACGTAATGTCTGGCAGCGGAAGATAGCGAAGATCAAGAAAGGTAGAGCGAGAACACATTGGAATTTGTAAGAAAATGCACGAACAATGGATTGGTGTTTGCAACAGAAACAGTTTGGTTTGATGCATGAATATTTTGCAAATTGACGATTGACTATATGGTATTCAGATTTTGTTGAGATAGACTGTAATTGTTGTGCTAAATACATCCGTTTGTCTCCACCCGTGTTCTCGTTCACCACATCACCACACATCTGACGTCTCTGGCATACTTCCCTGGACAAAGACTGGTGCATTGACTCTCATATATGATGCTGTGCAAACCATATATGACTATGAATTGTGACAAAATCACTTTGCGTTTAACTAACAAATGTCTAGAACAAGTTAGTGTAAACCTCTTAGTGGCACTCACTCTTGCAACCATATTATATCAAACTAACCTAGATACGAAGATAGACGTTACTTCGTCGGAAAGTTTCAGAAGTTACATAAAGCATTAACTCATAAAGCGGCTAGAGAAATCCTGCGTTTTGTGGACTCTTTATAAGATTATGGTATGTCAAATCATTTTAGTAATTTAAAGATAGAGAAATTTTCTTTTACGAACCGTTACATCTACTAAGTTGTAAAGCATGATTTTCAAAATACGCGGTGTGTTGGAAGTAGCCGAACACTGAGGATTACTTTAAGTTGAATCTACTTATCGAAGTCACCAATATCATGAGGTCTAGTTCGAGTGATATAATCCAAAGCTGTTGGTAATATAATTCCAGATTTTAAGTGTCTACAGAAAAATCCTGCTGGTTAATTACCCCAGTAGTTTTGGTAAAAATGTCGTAGCCTACTTTGGTGATGAATACTTCTCGACTTATATAAAGTGAGTAAACTGTAACTACTAAAGACATTCAGTAAGATAAATCTACTTTTGCAAGCTTTTGGGAATGAAAAGGATACTATAGAAGTTGAAGCAAATGGAAACTACCACAATTCGCTGATATTAGTTGTCATTCACGATTTCAAACAGAATTTACGCGATCTCTAGGACTTTATGCGAACATGCTAGGTATAAATTGCCCCTAAAATATTGACTCAGGCACATTGCATAAAAAAGGTGTTCAAGTTACAAGTACAGTACATCAGCTGACTGATCACTGCACAGTGACCAATGTCAGGTTAATTTTTCAGTACTGATAAGATTTTATCGATAAAGTTGCAATACAGTCATTAGTTTGAGTGACCACACATTGCGTGTCCCGTATTGAAATGACTGGTGATTTGAGGTGCTTAGAAAAAAATCCAGGATCTCCGTTTCGTGCTAGTAGGCACTAGTTATTACCTCCAATCTTGAGGGGACTGATGATCCCTTTGGGTTTCCTCCCGAATACCCTTAACCACTTAACATTTCAGCATAGTACATGCGAAGTCGACATGTTCAAACTAATGGTCGTATTGTAACTTAATCGATTAAATCCGATCAGCACCAAAAGACTAAACTAACTTGGCATTTATCACTTCATAGTGCTCAATCAATTGTGGATATCTCTTATAGGTTAGTCCCCCTCGATCTGTTTTCAACTAATGACAGTTTCACATACGTCTTTAGTATGAAACTCACTCGGGATAATTATGTATAAGGATAGAAAAGTGTTATCTAGTTGCCCGCAAATTTCATAGTGACCAGTGCTGAAATTCAATTCAATATACAATGAGTTTTAACTGTCAATCGACTGAAATTTCATGCAATGAACTTTAGGTTAGATAAGTTTTTAACTGGTGTCAATGGAAGCAGAAATCCCGTGCAGAAGACTGAAAAAATGAAGAACTTTTAATACAATTTCCATTTCTTTTTTAATAAATGGGACGTACACACTTAACAGGGAGACGTAATTATCTTTTGAAACGTGTAAGAATAAGATCGATCCAACTATGACATCCTAATGGAGCAAGAAGTTTGTAAAATTCATCTAAAACATAAGAAATTAGAAATGCATCATGCGGATACGATAAACTAGTTCACAAAAGCTGCACAATCAACATAAAATTAGCATACATACAGGTTAGATAGTAAAAGTTAATGACATCCCTGAAAGCCTAAAGATTTTCTCCACAACTATGTAACTAGGTCACATTCTATTGTTATGGTTTATTATCAAAACCTAGCAGAGAAAACGTTTCGATCTGTCAGTATGAAAAAAACTAGTTCGTCTTTTTAATGAAGATAAAAAAACGTGCAAAGATAAAGGTCTAAACAATAGATACAAAGTCTTTTGAATCAAAGGAACAAGATATCATTCTCGTGAAATCGTATGTGCATAATAAAAAGACAAATATAAGCAATAACTGGAAGAAAAAGACTTCAATTCCTTAGTTTGATTAAATCCTAAAACTTGGTAATATGAAATTCCTAAAATTTAAAATTCACAGAATAGATGGAGTGTGGCTAACAATGGAATCATGGACGCGCGTTTCTTTACACCTAATCAAATTCCATTTATTCCATAAAGTCCTATAAGACACCAACTGCGTCGAGGGAATCAGTGAAGGATCCACATATGGCAGCCAATACTGATCAGAATCCATCACACATTAAATTTAGATTGCATCTTCGAATAACGTGAGACGATTTTAAAAGGTAAATTTTTCAGAGAAAGGCATAGGTTTGTGATTGGAATTTTGTGCAAACATGCATTCTAGTCTATGTATAGAACTTAAAAGTACTTTTAGTGACACAGTATGTTTTCGGTACCTTTTCAATTTGTATTTTATAAATACTGTCTGTTAATGTATCACAGACAAGCACCATGAGAGTGACGATTCTTTGACACTATCTGGAGTAAGCAACTTCTACTGGTAAGCGCTAATTAGGCGTTTCTACATGAAAGTACTTATGGAGCATGCGATGTTTTCTACAAGAAAACAGTCTATAACCGTATCATTTAGTTATCGTTGATATGCAGACCTTAATGACTAGTATGATTAAAAAATTTAAGATGCGGATGGACGACACTTTGATCAGCAAGCAATCGAAAATACGTTCACATGACAAGTTCTGAACTAGTAAGCAAATAAATACACGTTACGCAGGTTTTATTGATTAGTATGTTTTTTCTAGCATATGTTAAGCTTACACGATACGTATGATTTATTATAGGATTTATTTATGCAATTGTTTGAATAGTTATGTTTTCTCACTTGAAGCTCAGTTAAATATTTGCAATCAAGCCAAATCCAGTTTGCTTACTCTTCCTAATCCTTAGCTTTTAGTCAGTACAACGAAATATAATCAGCTATGTAAAAGTTGCAGATAGTAAATGTTTTCGTAATTAGCTACTATGTATGATAAAAGTATATTATAATATAAAAATACGCTGAATGCAATTTTTCTCGTTATCAAGTTTAATCAAGATTAACACTTCAAACAGATATCTCTAGATCGATAACCGAAATAAGTCCTATAAGCAAAGATAGACGGTGTTTAACCAAAGAATCCAGGACGCGTGTTTCGTCCTATTTGGGACTCGTAAGTTAAATATATCCGCATTCTAGAGTTGATGTTCACTCTGGGACAAGTCCCAAATAGGACGAAACGTGAGTCCTAGATTCCACTGCCAGCCACCATCTTATTTCCGTCTATAATGCTTGTGAATTCAGGCAAATATTGAGGCAATCCGAACATATACCAATAAGAGACTGATCAATTGCAGTCCTAAACACCAACCAGAAGTTTCAAACAAATAATACAAAACGGGAAAAGCTCGTTTTAGTGAGAAGAGATTATAAAACTAATATTATTTAAAATGTCTAAAAAATTACCTGAACTTAAATTGCGTATCCGTCCACTAACCCAACAGATTTGCATAAATTCTGCTAATCGAATGATCATTAGTTCTAAAAGGTCAATTTGTTTATCCCCTGACGATTCATTTTTCGGTAGTGAACTAATCAAGTTACACTGTTCATGAACTTGGGTAATCATTGATTCCATATAGTAAAATTCTTTTGTATACTCCATTTTTCGCGAACATGTAAGAAGCCAAGTTGAAAATCCAGACTGTCCGGGAACTCCACTGCCATGACGGTGGGAAGCAAGACTGGCAGGTTCTGACAAACACTTATGAGTATGTAGTGAAATTAAATATTATTTTATGACAAGAGAATAATCTAACTTTGATGTACAACTAATCAAATAAATATGAAAAAGTGTTGACCAGCAAATACAATATATTCATAAGCGATACTACTATTGCGAGAATTATTGAAATCTAAAACGAATGAATTTCATGAAACAACAGCAAATTGAAGGTTTGAAAGCCTATTAACTCGGATGAATGTGCACAATTTAGAAGGAACCACCTAATTATACGAAGCTGTAGTCGTATTTGAGTAATAAGAACGTCAGAAGAATTTTTCTAAACACTAAACTTATCCCTATACGTTGCGAAACTGATGACATATTTAGCACAAAAACATGATAGTTTAATAATAAGGACGTACTACGAATCACCAAATAAGATAACAAGTTATCGATGTTATTTGGAAGATCACAATAAATAAATAAATAAATAAATAAATAAATATATATATATATATATATATATATATATATATATATATATATATATATATATATATAACTGATAATCGTTATTTCAATTCTTTGTTATATATATTCCCAAAATGGTTCATAAAAAGTGAATGATCCAAGTGTAACTAGGACAAGATATTGATGGACTAAACAAAGAGCCTCAGGTGTCATACGAAATGCTTTTGTTAACTACTTTCTTTAGCTAAGCCATTCAGGAAACCTGACGCACAAACACAAAAGGTCTACAACAACGATCTGCATTCTCCTCTTGAAACTGTCTAAACGAACGCCTCATCAGTTAAGTTTCACTAATTAACGATGCGATACGGTGTCCACAGACTAGTTCTAACAATCAAGTAATAATTGATTGAAGGACGAGCGACCTACAAGCTAATTTTCTTCAATTACCTATGATATTTAACCACGGTTATATTGTATTCATATCTTGTGTAAAAGCATGTTATTTAATACATGAAGAATCAGTCATTTGGCTAGGGGTTTTGCCTTTGATTTCTGATCATTCAGGGGGCCTAAGTCAATTATACAGTATCGCAAGTAGCCATCACTACCAAACAATGCCATTGGGTTCATCCATCGATTATGACAATTTAAAATTTCGTTTATTCAAATTACAGAAAACATCCTTCATAACACGATGATACAGTGTGAGACGCGTTGTTTACAAAAGATCTTGTTGTCCTAGAGACGAAAATTAAAAGTTTCGTGGGAACAGGCTCAACTATGTACGAGCTACCTAAACATTCTGAAATGGTGGTTTAAAAAAAGGAATTCCTGGGAATATTGCATTTTTCACCTTTTGAATAGCTCACTAAAGACCATAACCAATGCAATGTTGATATAATATGTACTAGATATTATTTCACATTATATAAGTCTTGTTTATTTTATCAGTTTGAAAACCTTATGAGTTCGAACTAACAGATAAATGGCAACGTTACATGATCTGAGTAAAGGACTGGACACTAAATCTAAGAGGCAGGTATATTCGGCTAAGAATTCCTAATAAGACAAAACGCGCGTCCTGGATTCCACTGCTAGCCACATTTTATCTGTCCTACATTAAATAGTAACACATAACCAAATATAATGTATAAATAGAAAAAATTTGATTTTAATTTTGTGAATAAACTACTAGGTAGGAAAAATACCTGCAGAAGTTCATAATGTAGATCTGAAATACAGTTCGATATCAACTTGCCATTGTCATCTTGTTTCGATTTGCAAGAGTAACTGAAAGTGAATAGGATAGATTCATAGTTATTATGACAGAGAGGTGGAGTAGAAGCGTCACAAAATACACAGAAGCAGTCCCGGTATATAAACATAACGGGGACTTCAATGTTGAAAGATTATTAAGGAACAAAAGGTTTTATCGATTATTTCATGGAACCTAAAACTAAATTCTGAGGTACATTTAAATTTCCAGTCAACTAACTAGTCACCAGCAGACTAGACACCAAAAACGAAATCACAAAATCAATACGGACCCACCAAACTATTTCTGACATGGATGATAATTTTAAGTGAGTTGTGATGATTAAAGTGGTGATCTGTGGATGATGCGCTGTAATAGTAAAAAATGTTTGATTCAATACATAATTTGTACAGTATGGAATAATCAGCATAAGATATTTCGACAGGGTTTTCCATACTTAAAATCCACTGGAGAAATATTTACATATGGTTATAAAAGTCCTTACAACCACAGGTACATATATTCATGAACAAAGATTGATGGTTAGGTCAACTCTCATATTACTTTCATCGTAAATTACGTCCAAGATAATGTTGCAGAGCTTCTGTATTCTCCTTCGCTTACATAAACACTAATAAAACTTTAGCCACGTTCTGCCAGAGAATAATAAAATGAGAAATCCGAGTAAAGTTTGCGGGTTTTATTCGGTCGAATAGTACTTTCCAGTTATTTTAAGACTTCCCATAACCATACAAAAATGTAAAAAGATGCACCACTGAAACTACTGAGATACATACAGCGTGATCGTCAGCAAAGTTAACAAGTGTTTTAGTGGAACATGAATGATGAAAGAAAAAAAGGTGAAGAACAGTGCCTCGAAGTACACCAGATTCAGTTAATCAAGATGTATCGTGACTTCCTTCATACATATGACTTGACTCTCTTCCAGTAAAATAAGAATATAGTCTGTTAGTTTTTCAGCTATCATTAGCGAAGCCGGTCAACAAGAAACGTCGTCCGAAAAAAAACGAAGGTGGACGGTCAGTTTTATAGAACCTAGAACATATGAACATCGGTTTTAGATACCACTGCTACAGTAAGATGAAATTGTCGTAGCAAATCCCATAGCAGCACAGGTAGTAATAGTAGTAATTTTAAGATTAGGAATTCAAGAGACTATTCGAGGAGGGAATCAAAAATTGTTAAATAATAAAGAAAAATGTATGAGGAATTTCGAAACTAATAAATCCAAGAGAAGACAAACGATGAATGCATCTGTACCTTTACAAACGATTTTAAAACATTTTATTCAGAATCTCGAACCATCACGTACGGAAATCACTCAGGCTCAAAACAGTTGGTTTAGACTTAACCACGTGGCTTAGGCCAGTAGTCAGTGTCTTCATGGACTGATGCAATATCTTAGTTTGACAGCCCATAGGTTTATTCCAACCCAATCCAATATCGCCGCACATAGACTTAGTCATAAAATGGGCATACATAATACATGTCCTAACTACCTCAGTCGACAAACATTCATCACCTCGCCAATCGATTTGTAATCCTTACCTAATTCCTGTGCGCATAACCTCGATAATCCCGAAATATGCAAGCAATTCTTCGAAGACATCTATGACCGAATACTAGTAACATACGAATATAATACCCTTCACATTTCAAGACCTCATTTCACAGCCATAAAACAGAACGGAGCGAACTAGCGCTCATTTTATTCGTCCTTTAGATGACTGACAGACACTTTACCTACTCCACAGGTGACGCAAGTTTGCGAAGGCCAACCGAGCTTTCTGAATTCTCGCTAAGATTTAGTCAAACACCAACACATCGGGACGGATAAGTTCAACTACTTCATTTCAAACCATTAGTTCAGGCGTTGATGCCGATAAGTCTTGAAATAATTTTGCCCTTAGCGGAAGAAAAATGCGTCCCAAACGTGTTTGAATTGTTGGTAAAGGAGGTCAGAAAATTCCATTTTCTCAGCGTCTTCACCAAACAAAACTATGTTACCTGTGCATTCTAACTTAACAAGAGAATTTCCTAACAAATTGGGTCCTGACAGATTAGACGATGAGCGTTAAGGTAGGTCTGAAATTTTGTTCACTGCCATAAGCTCTTTCATCGCATTTGCCTTCGTTGTCCACAAATGCTCAGGATCATAGCGTGGAATTTAAGGCATTTAAGTTCCCTTTGCCCTGATCGTGTTCCCAGACTAATGGGATAAGTTTCCGAGCATCTAAAATATACGTAGACGATGCTCAGTTGTAGCCACTCGCATATATCCCTGCTCTCTTCATGACAGTCTAAATATCATCCCAAGCCACATTGTGGCGGACATCACCTACGTAATTAACTTATTACTTTTCTGCTTGTTCCTGTAAAATATAACTGTCTTTTACATCATTAATTCGAAATCTGAGTGGGTTGTTTTGCTGCTTTTCTGGGTCTAGTAAGAGCGCGTGCTCGTGTTTGTCACAGAGTCTCTAGTTACTAGCCAGGTTATTTTGCAATATTCAATCATGTAATCCGCATCTACTAACACGAACTGATAGTGCGTGTTGATTTAACCCCTAGAGACCTAAAAAAACAAGTGTTTTAGCCAGCAGGGTTAAAGTTGGGAATCGGAGGTAGAAGCATGGTCTGGAAAAGTACATTCAACATACTTAGTAACTTCGAAAATGAAAATTGCGTTATGACGTAAGATAACAGCATAAAAAGTATTTCTGAAATGATTGTACTTAAACTGACATGAATTATTATGGTCTTTCCATGAAGGATGAAAAGAAGTAATGGTAGTTTTTCGATTGTTTTAAGGAAAGGAACTTCTAAACTTGACATATTTATCATCATTCAAGTCCTTCATTATTTCAATGACTTTAATTTCCTTCTACATTTTCTACAGTAAGGTCATAGAGATCTACTCAATAAAGATGTTTGTTATTACATAATGTAGAACATTAATACGATGCACAAAAAAGTTATGAATATCGTTGTTTTAGTGAATTAAGCAACCTGAAACATTTCATAACATTAATTTCCGTAAATCAATCTGTAAGATTATGTCTTAAAAATGAAAGAAATAGGACACATGGCACAAACGGCTTGGCGGATTTCACAATTCTACCATTTCATTATGGTGTACTTTTCGAGTAGTTTCCCCATTCTTGAAAAGTGTTTACAAGATTAAAGTTCACGAGTATATATTACATTCAGATGATAGGATTCTCAACTTTCCGGTAAATTCAAACTTAAAACTGCACCAGAGCTCTTTTTCTTTGCAATTCACCTTTTCTCCTTTCAACCTTTTAGTTTACGGCAAGTGAAGGAGATCAAATTTTATAAAAGTTATATCGTAAAGACAACAAATATCAAAGTAGAAATTAAGTTAACAAATAATAAAAATACTGTTTTTTTCGATGAAATATTTTTGAAGGAACCTCAGCCGGTGGTGCAAAAAGTATTTTTCAGATCTTGAGTGTTATTGCTTGGGTATCCCCTATATATGACGTTCCTTGCCTGATAGAAAAAGGTATTCTTCCCATTCTTACCATATAATTTTGCAGAACACAAGTTAAACAATGACCAAACGGAGCCCTGAGGAGAGTCTCCTACACTACCTAATAGATAGAAAACCAATTCTAAAAAAGCATTCAAACGAACTAAGAATTTGACAAACTTCTGGTGACTGAAAGATGCCGGAAGCCTGCAATTTCACAAATTGAAATAGCTACATATGACATGTGGAGAACCTCTGAAGACATTAGCAGCAAAACAAGTGAATATTTTTGACGTGGTAGTGAGAGTGAAGTGTAAGTGGTCATTGAGCATGGACAAACAGGAAATTAGCCTACCGAATATTAAATTTGTGATTTTCTTTCCTCCTACTGATTTCTACTTCGGACCCATTGAGTATGACTGCTAGTAACTGTTTTGGGAGAGATGTCATAGTAAGATAGTTAACGATCAAAGTAGACTATTTAAATTCAAATCTATTCATACTTATTAAAATTAGACTGAAGTTAGTACTTTCTACACAAGAAGGTGTTATCATCTAATTCCTTTTAAATGATTATAATAGTGCCCGATATTTCGTCTCTGACGTAAGAACGGACAAATTTAGCTTTCTGAAAGTTAAAGCATATATAAAAGCTGTTCAAAAAGATCATGAGAGAAACTCGTGAACACTACCTCGTATGACCCATTAGCTACGCATTTGTGGACGATTGTAATCAACTCACTAAAATCTAGTATCTAATAATTACGATACAATCAAAGTGAAATTTATTGAGAGCCTTTATTTAGCTGCTATTCAAAAAAACCATCTGAAGCCATAGCTGATTCCAAACGAAAATATAATTGGTTTGGTATCCTGTTTCAAGATTCACTGTAGTTATTGGTTGGGGGTACAACTGTCAGTCACTAAGCCCTAGATTTGAACACCGCTCTCCCTTTTTCAGTCTGGGCAATCGGATAGCATTATTAGCTCAAACACTTAGAGCGGATCTCATACCCCATACCCAGTGAGTGAGTTAATTTGTGCAGTTGTTAGTTACAAGATTTCAGAGGATAAGATTATGTGTCTTTCATGGGAAACAAAAGAAGCACAATTTCGATAAAAATGTTGCAGTATATTACAAAAGGTAACATCGAAAAGGCATGGAAATAAAAATAAATAAATATGATAGTAAATTACCGCATTATATGTCTTAGTGGTTCAAAAATAGTCCACCATATTAGACAAAGTGGGGGAGGTGGTTGAAACATCAAAATCTGATCAATAGAAAAGCGGGGATGGTTGAGAAACTTATGACGTCTAGCTGCACTTGGCCAATCAATACTGGTCCAGCTGCTGAATGGATTAGTTCCAGGTTGATGTTGCTTCGAAATCCTCGAAAGTCTTAACCAGTGGGAAATACATAATATAATCTGCGGAGGAGGTATTTTGGTTGCTTCGTGCGTTACAGTAAAATTGCAAACGGATGATTCTAAAGCGAAACATTTTGAGTGATAGTGTTCAAACTTTTTCACATACCTTTTAAGGCAAATATGTTTTAATTTCTATAGCAAAATACACTTATTATTCATTTATGTCACATAACTGGTACTTTTGTATATGCTGTCAGTTTATATGCCAATGAGAAGTTTATGCTTCGTGAATTTAATTTTACTTTGGATTGCAAACAACTATTAACGGTTTACTGTAAGACCGCTGTCCTTAGAAATATTTACCATCCACTACATTCAGGGCTTTAAATATTTCCATTAAATATGTCTAAAGTGGTCACTTAAAAATTACCTGAAAATCATACGATTCCAGATAAATTTAAATTTATTATCTGAACAATCCTGTAAACTGACGTGTATTCTTTAATAATTTTCTGAAAATATTATCCTGATTCGTGGGTATTCGACAACATGGATCAGCAAATAGCTCTACAAGGTATACTGCCGGTACCAAGTCCGAATAAAAGAGAAGGGTTGAGCATGGAATTAGTGACCCAATCCTGTAGAAAAAAAACTTTTTAAATCCATTAACCAGAAAAAACAATTTAAGCTATTTAAACCCTGCTCTGGTAGTTGAAGGATTTTCGTTTAGAATTATTATGACGCCTAATGGTGAAAGCCGATATTCTTCGAAAGTCACTAAGCTAACGTCCTTTCTAATAACCAGAGCAACAATTAATATAGGTACATAAAATGTTCAGACAATGTGGTAGACCGGGAGGACAGTCAAACGGCTGTTTGAATGAGACACAACTTAGCGGTGCTCATAATAAGTAAAACCCATTGGAAAAAAGCTGAACAGAAAATATTAGGCTCAGTAGAGGTGCTGTTGTACTCTGGTCATAAAGAAAATATGCTTTGCACACACAAGGAGTTGCTCTAATGCTGTCCAAAGAATCACGAAAAACACTTGCTGGATAGGAATCTCATGGATCCAGAATCATCAGCAAATTCTTCATAACAAAGGAGGTGATTTCTAAGAGTGTTACGTAATGCTATGCACCCACCAATGATAGCGACGACGACGATAAAGATCAGATTTATGAGATGCTGCAGTCGACCGTAGAGAAGTGCCCAGAAAAGGATCTGACAATCCTGATGATAGACTTGAAAGCCAGAAGGTCAATGGAAGATTTGAGAACCAGGAGAGGAACTTGGATAACTTCAGATCACCACCTGGTAGTTGCCAAGATGGGACTGAAGCTAAAGAAGCAATGGACGACTGGAGGAACAGCATTACAAAGGTTCAATACAGCCTTCCTTCAATATACTGACAATCTCAACGAATTCAAGATAACTCTCAACAACAGGTTCCAAGCCTTACAAGATCTACTGAAAGGAGAAACTACTATGGAGGACAACCGGAAAGGTATCAAAGAAGCACTAATTTCAACGTGTTGGGAGGTTCTGAGCTGCAAGAAGCATCATCATAAGGAATGGATTTCTACCGAAACCGAAGGAGGAAGAAGAGAGCAATTCACAACAGCCGAACACGAACAGAGAAAGACAAGGCACGAACTGAATACATAGAAGCAAATAAAGTAGCGAAGAGGAGCGATAGGGTCGACAAGCGGAAATACGTGAAATATCTATCAGTGACAGTGGAAAAAGCTGCAAGAGAGAGAAATATGAGACAGCTATATGATGCAACGAAGAAACTGGTAGGGAAATATAGTAAACCAGAGATACTAGTCAAGGACAAAGGCATTCCGACCATTGAGATTCAAGAACAAAGGAGCAGATGGGTAGAGCACTTTGAAGAACTCTTGAATAGACCAGCCAAACTGAATCCACCAGACATCAAAGCGGTACCTACGGATCATCGTCGAACAATCAAATGAATGGAACTCGTCACTATACACCGACTTCCTTGACTATGAGAAAGCATTTGACAGCGTGGATAGAACATTATTGAAACTTCATCGACACTATGGTGTACTCGAAAAGATCGACAATATCACCCGGAATTCATACGATTGGCTACGGTGCAAAGTGGTGCATGGAGGACGGTGAGGACCGAAGTCAGACAAGACTGCTCACTCTTCACTTTTCTTTTTCTTCTGGTGGTTGACTGGATTATGAAGACCTCGACATCTGAGGGGATGCGCGGAACAAAATGGACAGCTTGGATACAACTGGATGATTTGAACTTCGCAGATGACCTAGCTCTTTTATTCCACATAAAAGAACAAATATAGATGAAGACAACTAGTGTAGCAGCAGTTTCTACATCACTAGGCCTCAACATACATAAGGGAAAAAGCAAGATCCTGAAATACGACACGGAGTACAACAAACCAATCACACTTGATGGAGAAACTGGAAGAGGTGAGAACTTCCACGTACCTGAGAAACATCATCTATGAACAAGGAGGATCGAATGCAGACGTAAAGGCAAGGATTGGCAAAGCAAGAGCCGCATTCCTACAATTGAGGAACACTTAGAACTCGAAACAACTGTCAACCAACATCAAAGTCAGAATCCCCAAGACGAACGTCGAGACAGTTCTACTGTACGAGCTGGAACTTGGAGAACTACTACAAACATCATCAAAAAAGTACAAGTATTTATAAACAATTGTTTACGCAAGACACTCAATGTGCATTGGTTGGATGCCATCAGTAACAGTCTACTGTGTGAAAGAACAAACCAACTTCCAACTGAAGGGGAAATCAGGAAAAGATGTTGTGGGTGGATAGGACATTCATTAAGCGGATCATTGAACTGCATCACGAGGCAAGCCCCAACTTTGGATCCTGAACGGAAACGGAAAGTGTAAGACTGAAGTACACACTACGTCGAGAATTGAAAGTAGACATTAGAGGAGTGAATAGAAACTGGAAATGATTGCCCAGGGCAGAGCTCGATGGAGAATGCTGATGAGAAGCCTATGCTCCTCGAAGAGTAGTAACAGGAGTAAGTAAGTAGAACTCGAGCACTGATATGCAAGTAGTAGCCCCCATTAATCTTATGCACACTTCTAGTACACTATGGAGGGACAGAAACTGCTGAATGATGTCCCGATTGACGAAGTCGAATGTCGCATTTAGATCAAAGAGTATTATCACAATCGGCCTTCGTTTTAAATCCCAGAACCCAATGATGTATATTTGGCTAATACATCAAGAGTTATGTCTGAGAAAATCTTTGTTCCTGAGGGTATTCAAAAGAACTTTCTTATATTTCATAACAATTAGCAAATTATTTTAAAATTTCATCATTATTTAGCTTCAATGAACTACCACAACACCATCTGATAGTTAAAAAGTGCGATAAAGCCATTTATTATATTTAGAAAAATAATAATTCCTTTTCTTGGTTTTTATTTCAACCATATTTTAACGTGTTCCTTTTTATGAGTTTACGGTAAATTCTAATTAAGCACACGAAAAATTATATTAAACTTGATTAATTACGTTGAAAATAATCCTACGCATCAGTCTTGGTACTGTCATGAACAATAGCCACTACGAGGTATACTGCTTAACAACCCTAGCTTGGACATATCGGTGACAAAGCTAAATAAGTCTTCACAAATTAACAATATGAGAAACCGAACGTTATGAAAAATAAAAGTATTATCTAGAGAATTACTCTTATTTAGGCAGTATGCTTCAAGAAACTAAGTTTATTAACAATATAAAGAGAAAACTTAACCTTAAAATCTTACTTACTTAGGGAAGGATAGAACCCATAAACCAAAGAAACTCCAGACAAAAATGCGTCTGCGAATGCAGGTGATACTGATGGGATAATGTATAATGGGTTGTCTTTGTTTGGATCTCCACTCTGGATAATATCGTTTTTCGACAATGTTGGATTCGAAGTTAATGGAGATCCCTGTATACTGAGCATATCGGATGTAAGCGCTGTAACGAACTCCTCAATAATTTCATACGAAATGTAAGGTAAATAATTAGCTGACTGTAGTGCTGAGGAAGCATAAAGTTGGCAAACTCGGACCTTATAATTCAAAAAATGCATTACTCATTTTTAAGTGTTAGAAATGTTGGTCAAATCAGAAAAAAACAAAGATGGACTATTGAACAGATTTAAAGTCTTGTATAATAGATTAAATGATAAAAAATTCATTTAAACTACTAACTTGACTTTTTAGGTATACGCAAACCATACGCAGCAAAATCAATTCCTATAACTGGAAAAGTTGGTCGCAGGTCAAATAACGGGGACTATCTACTGCAACTGTGCGCAGTTCACAACCTGTTTCTGGTGAGCACTAACTTCCGGCACAGTTATCGATGTCAGTAAATTGATTGCAGCTTCTGATGCAACTAAATATCAAACCGAGCTGGGCTCAATGCTAGATACCATCCTATCGAAGAGTATAGATGAGCATTGGCTGCATTTGCATGGCGCCATGAAAGTGGAGAGTAAAGTCGCTTGCGGCTTCGCAAAACGTCCCGCTTATAAGCACTAGGTTTCTACAAGCTTCTTACAACTCATTGGAGCCCGTCGGTGTACTCCGAGTGACCGTGAGTTTGACCACAAACGAAGACTATTACTTAACGAAATTAAGTAAAGCTTACGTAAGGACCGAGAAGCCTGATGATCGGAGCGTACCAATGTGTTGGGAACAGCAGCTGCATCTGGTAACTGCCGGAAGTCTTTTCAACTCATCCGAGTCACTGTCTGCAAGACGCCTGGTGTGAGAGAAACGATCTGTGAAGATACCGAGATGCCAATCACTAACATCTATCGACATCACGTACGATGGGCAGAGTTTCCCGAGAAGTCCAGATGATCTTCTGTCCCAGCAACATCGATCAAACTGTTCTACGCTCCATGGCCTATGACGATTGATCCACCAAATGAGGCGGAAGTTCACAAGGAACTTCAACTCTTGAAGCGCTACAAAGGTGTATACCACGACACCAATGTGAGAGGGGAGAGGATGTCACAGTCTCGTTAATCGTATTGAAGTTGGAGTTGCGACACATCAGTTTTGACCAAAATTTAAGCTGAAATTGTTCCCGCAAGTCATAATCAATACAAGATCTGGTGCAAACAAGTGCCATGTGTAGTTACCGATAAATTTTTGGGATACCGTCTAATCAGAAATACTTGAAGTTGTACGGTCAGTGAGTTACAACGTAGGACCAGGCACATATATGCATCGGTCCAAGTTGCCATACCTCATTAACACAACAAGATCAACAAATTCATGGAAGTAGTTACTTCAATGATAGTAATATATATAAAAAAACGTTTGTGTATGAGGATATATTACAGGAAGAAAGAATTAATTCGTAGAAAGAAAGATATGAAGTAATTTTAATCTCAAAGTTTAAGGGAAGACAAAGAGTGTATACACCTATACCACTGTGATCGAGTCTGAGTTATGTCACCAAGAATCTCCAACCATTGGTTACGACAGTCACACGGACCCAAACCAAGTAGTCTGCATCTACCAGCATGGCTCAGACTACAAGTTAGTGACTTCAAGCACTGATGCCACGTTTTGGTTTGGTCGCCCCTAACTTTCTTCCAACCATCTCCAACACCGGTTAGCATTGCACGTCGTGGTAATCGGTGTTCAGGTATACGCAGCACGTGGCCCAACCATCTCAGTCGATGAAGATTCACAACCTCATCAACAGACTTGCCACCATTCCCTAATACCCTGCGTCTAACCTCACTATTACTGACCCGGTGATCCCAGCAGATGCTGGCAATATTACTAAGACATCTGTGATCAAATACTAGTAACTTACGAGTGTCTTCTACTCTCAATGACCATGTTTCGCAGCCGTAAATTAAAACAGAACGGACTGCCGCGCAGTATACTCGTCCTTTTATTGATAGACGGATATATCCCCTTCGCCATAGATGACGTAAGTTGGCAAAAGCCAAACGAGCTTTTCGAATTCGTGTTGAGATTTCGTCAGACACCAACCCATTAGGGCTGATCAGACTTCCAAAATAAGTGAAGTTGTCAACGCGTTCGACCACTTCACTCCCTGTCCTTAGTTCAGGTGTTAACGTAGACCAGTCCTGAAGCAACAACTTGCATTTAGAGGGAGAGAAGCGCATTCCAAACATTCTGGCATTGTTGCTTAATGCTACCAAAAGACTCTGCATTTTATCAGCGTCTTCACCAAACAGGACTATGTCATCTGAGTATTCTAAGTCGATAAGTGGACCTCCTGGAAGGAGATTAATACCCGAGAATTCAGTCGACGAGAATGTTATTTCCATCAGTAGGTCTATCATGAAGTTAAACAAAAATGGAGAAAGTGGACAGCCTTGACGGACACTTGAGGTTGCAAAAGCAGATGACAGTTCACCGTAATCTCTGACTCGACTGGTAGTGTTCGAGTAAAGAGCCTTCACAAGGTTTATGTACTTCTGGGGTACGCCTTTCAATGACAGACACGACCACAGAATCTCGAGGTCTACAGAGTCAAATGCTGCCTTTAAGTCAAGAAAGACCACCATTGTCGGACGCCGATATGCATGCCTGTGTTCTAGAACCCGATGAACGGTGAATATGTGGTCGATGCAGCTATGACCAGGTCTGAAGCCAGCTTGATTCTCTCGTGTTTGCAGTTCACGAGTCTTAGTTAGGCGACCGATAATTATTGAGGCTAGTATTTTAGATGCTATGTTATTCAAACTAATCCCTCTATGGTTGTCACGGGATGATTTTGACCCTTTCTTATATATTGGGACGATAAGTGATTGTGGCCAGTCAGGAAGGGTTAATCGAAGCAAGTATAGTATTTTCCGTAAGCACTGTCACCTCAGGCAGAGTTAGGGCATACAACTACCTCCCTCCATTTTTCCATTCAGACAGTGGGGTTATACACGGTTGCCCAACCTCACCATTCCTATTCAACTTTGCCATCCATGACGTTCTGGTAACAGCTCTGATGGATGTAAGTAATGGCTGCGTGAATCTGTTGCCTGGAGAAAGACTTCTCGACCTTGAGTATGCGGATGACATTATCTTACTATACGAAGGTACCCAAGTCATGCAATCCGCACTTAATCAGTTAGCAATCAGTGTCCGTAGATATAGCATGTGCTTTACACCATCGAAGCGCAAAGTACTTCTACAAGACTGGCAGGATTCTAATCCTGTACTCAACCTGAATGGTGAGCAGACAGTAGTCGAGAAGTTCGTGTATCTGGGTAGCTGTACAAGTGCTGGTGGTGGTGATGATGAGATCAATCCACGTATAGTGAAAGCAAGAGCGGCTTATGCTAATCTGGGCCATCTTTGGCGCCTTCGTGATGTTAGTCTGGCTGTAAAAGGTCGGATCTACAACGCGGTGAAAGCAGTTTTGCTCTATGCTTATGAAACCTGGCCTCTTCGAGTTGAGGACGTTAGAAGACTCTCTGTGTTTGATCATCGTTGTCTCCGAAGGATTGCTGACATCCAGTGGCAACACCATGTTAGTAATGCAGAGGTTCGGCATCGTGTGTTCGGCCACAGAGATGATAATGCGATTGGTGTCACCATCTTGAAACACTGACTTCGGTGGCTTGGACATGTTTTACGAATGTCGTCCCAGAGAAATCCACATCGTGCATTATTTGCCGACTCTGGGACTGGTTGGAATAAGCGAAGAGGTGGTCAGTATATGACATGGTGTCGTGGCATGAAAAAAAGCTGCAAAGGACTGGCTTGTGTTGGTCCTTCACGACTCCCTAGTTGAGGTCCTAGAGATTGAGCAACACAATGGTTTGAGACGTTATCAGGCATGGTTCAGAACAGAAGCCAGTGGCGATCCTGTTGTAACCTTCTTTTACTTTCTTCATAAAAGTGACCGTAACTTTAATTGAAAGAATTCTTTCTGTTTGTATCTTTCTGTTTCCCCCATTATTATTATTGCACTACTATACACTAATTTGTGGTCGTGATTGTTCTTTTTTTCTCGTTTTACACGCACCTTACATTCTTTATCTCTTCCCATTCCCATTATTATTGTGTGTTGCATATGTATCCAGTTACTCCATGTACCAATATTTATAAACTCGAAGAGCTAGAGGAAAATTCTGATTAAACATAACGGTTGCAATGCGATACCAGGCGATTGTAGCTCACTTCCCAATGGGTCAGTCGGTCAAAGCGTACAACTTGTGTGCATGTACATGGGTTCAAGTCGCCAAACCCCGTTAGCACAGACAGATGTTGTCAGGTCAAATACCAGAATAGAAGAGGTAGTAATAGCGTCAATGGTAATGGGAAAGGTCAGGCATCGAATATACAATTCGAAAAAAAATAAATTAGCGAGATAAAAACAAAAAGGCTTATGAGGTTTGAATTTCAGGAGTTAGGGGAAGACAAAGATTGAATAGAGGTGCGAAATTGTAAGCGATTTTGAGTCCTGTCATTTAAAGTCTCTAACCACTGGTTACGATAATCACACAGACCATAACCAGGTAGTCTGTACCTATAAGAAAAGTCAGTCAGCTACAAAGTAGGACCAGGTACATATATACATCGGTCCATACCACACATGGACAAAATGCAGAATCTTCTGGTAGCACTGAGCAACAATGCCAGAATGTTTGGAATGCGCTTCTCTCCCTCTAAATGCAAGTTGTTGCTTCAGGACTGGTCTACGTTAACACCTGAACTAAGGACAGGGAGTGAAGTGGTCGAACGCGTTGACAACTTCACTTATTTTGGAAGTCTGATCAGCCCTAATGGGTTGGTGTCTGACGAAATCTCAACACGAATTCGAAAAGCTCGTTTGGCTTTTGCCAACTTACGTCACCTATGGCGAAGGCGAGATATCCGTCTATCAATAAAAGGACGAGTATACTGCGCGGCAGTCCGTTCTGTTTTAATTTACGGCAGCGAAACATGGCCATTAAGAGTAGAAGACACTCGTAAGCTATTAGTATTTGACCACAGATGCCTAAGAAATATTGCTGGCGTCTGCTGGGATCACCGGGTCAGTAATAGTGAGGTTAGACGCAGGGTATTAGGAAAGGATGGTAAATCAGTTGATGAGGTTATGAATCTTCATCGACTGAGATGGTTGGGCCACGTGCTGCGTATACCTGAACACCGATTACCACGACGTGCAATGCTATCCGGTATTGGAAATGGTTGGAAGAAAGTTAGGGGCGGCCAAACCAAAACGTGGCATCAGTGCTTGAAGTCACTAACTTCTAGTCTGAGCCATGTTGGTAAATGCAGACTACTTGGTTGGGGTCCGCGTGACTATCGTAACCAATGGTTGGAGACTCTTGGTGACATGGCTCAGAATCGATCACAATGGCGTCGGTGTATACACTCCCTGTCTTCCCTTAAACTATGAGATTAAAATCGCTTCATATCTTTCTTTCTACGAACCAATTCTTTCTGCTTGTACTATATCTCTATATGCAATCTTTCTCATATATTACCACCTTTCACCTAACCACTGTTATGAATCTGGTGTTCATCTTGTTGTGTTGATGCGGTATGGCAACCTGGACCGATGCACATATGTGCCTGGTCCTACGTTGTAGCTGACTGACTGACTGATACATCGGTCCAAGTTACCATACCTCATTAGCACAACAAGATCAACAACAAATTCATAGTAGTTATTTTAATGGTAGTAGAAAAAAGATTCAATATGCTAGGATAAGTCAGTTCAATTGTCAGTGACTTCATGGACTGACTGATACAATAATGGTGACAATTAGTAAAGGTGTATAAATCTGAAAACGCCGCATCAGATAACATATAAAAACGAACATATGTTTTACAGAGTGGCAAGGACTTACAGGAACAAAGCAGGAATGTCTAGTTTAGGGAAATGCGGTTTACCGTTATAAGGTGAGCATACTGAATAAAAATAACACTATCAATGATGATTTATCCTTTGCAGACATAATTCATGGTCCCAACTTCTTAGCTCATCAAGTCATTCATCTATTTTAAAAGATAGTTTTAATGTTTAGTATAAATAACATTGATACTCATTTTATTCTGATCCTGTCGGTCAAAATATGGAAATCTATTTTTGGATTTAACGGGTTTTGTTTGTACTGTTACTGGGTCAGCGATGAACAATTTAGGCTTGATAAAACTCCTAGAATTGGTAAGGGTCGAATTACTTTACGTCCTATTGCCCAGCCAAGAATCAGACCAGTCCTGAAGCAACGTTTTATTCTTAAATGAAGAGTAAAGCATCACAGACGTTTTCTATCCAAGGCCTTTGTAACACCCTTCGCTTTATTCTTACCACCAAACAGAACTATGGTATCAGGATACTTCAAATTGTGTGTGGAAAATCAATCTCTATGAAACCAGACGAAAGAGTGGATACTTTAAGGAATATACCGATTCTACAGCTGAGTGAAGTGGTACTAACCTAGATGATTATTACTCGTAATGTTTCACTTAGATGCCCTGATTGGACCAACTTTCGTGAAATGGAAAGTAGTTCATAGGCCTAAGTACTACATTAGCACGTCAATTTTAGTTCATTTAAAAACCTTAGATTCGATGAGAAAATTTTGGTGAGAAGTTAAGCAGTGGAAAGTGCCTCTGAAAATTATATTTTCGAATTTCAATACAAGATCGTAATGAGATAAAACAGCTACACAAACATTGTTTCTGGACATTAACTCTATCAAACTCAGTATGCTATAAAACAATACTAATTTGTGTATTCGAGCTGCTAAAGAGTTACAAAGTTTGTGAGTAAATCCATAAAAATATATCTTCACAACATTCAAAAATTGAAATTTCGCTAACCTTTAGCCACAAAGAAACAATTTCGAGTACTGGGGATAGCCCAAGGCAAATAGCTAACGATGATAATTTTATTAGGAAGTACAAACAGTCAGCGCTAATATCCTTATCAACAGGAAAGACTTCGAAGAACAAGCGATACTTCACATCCTCTTCGTTTTTCAGCATTATGTACGTAGCTATGGTATCCAAAATTTCGACTTCCTCTAGTGGACTTGGTTTCTAAAATTTGAGTGAATTTAGATCTGTTGAGACAATATTGCTCACCTTTCCATCAACTGTAAGTACGCTGTTAACAGAAAATTTCAAAGTTTCTGAATTAGTATGTTCGTCTCTAAGGTATGACTCCAAGGTAACAAGAGACTTTTTGCATGCTTCAGAAGCTGACATTTTACGATCGAAAATTAACGTATTCGGATTACTCGTTAAGAAATTTGTTAAACTTCTGTATTTATTAAAGAAATAATAATAGTAGTAACTACTATAGGATATTTATAGCCTTTTTTCACATAAATACTGAAGTAAACTCTAGCCTTTTATTGCTGTCTAGAGCAAATAAAATATGCTTTATATTTCTCAGTGTATTAAAGCCATCAGTGATGTGGCACTTGTAGTCTGAGGGTGCTCTTACCCCAATGATGAACGATAGCACAAGAAAACAAAGCTGTAGTTCATAGGTATTTGTTCAGTAAATTAAGTATGTGATCTTGTGGTCAGAGATGCAGTCTGAAATGAAAATATGATAACAAACAGGATACAAACACCAAAGAAGTTGTTCAGAACTACTTCAGTAATGACATTCAGAAGTTGACAAGCTGTGGTCTAGAGTAGATCTACGTATTGTTGGCAGGTGTAAAAAATCGTATGGAGACCTAGAAGGGAATAAAAAAGTGGCTCAACAATTCAGTAAGTAAACACGATTTATTTAGTTTGTCAAACTGGACAAATGTCATAAGAACAAAAAGCACACTGAATTAATTTCAACAGACTGAATAACAAATGAACGAAAACTGCTTTAAATCAATATGGGGTTTAACGGTTGATTTCTTTAATGTACACTGTGTTTGAGAATTTACCCTTATCGACGGAAAAAACGCCTTTATCGGGTTAAAAACCCAAATAAATGATTAGGGGAAAACCCAAAATATATTGAACGTTCTTAGATGAGCACACAGACATCCTGACTGAATCCCATGCTGATGTATACAGCCAAAAAAGCGAAATGTCCGAGCTAAGTCTTTTAATGAAACTGGATGTAATTATTATTACAAAAATATGGCTCAACTGATGTTGATCCTACCCCAAACACCACAGAGTTAATGTGTCAGAACTAGTAGGATCATTAGTCGCAAGGGTGAGATCATAGTCTTGAACATTCGACAACATTTACGCGTTGAATCTATGCGCTAAATAAGAGCCACATGTGAACGGTAGTAAGTTCTAAAATCAAGTGACTGTTGAAGTAATGTACTATATCTTTAGCAGCCTCATCAATGACCTCGCTTTGAGTCACGCTTTTATATGAGGTAAGACTAATAGCTGTATTAGTGATGGGAATTCTAACGCGCCATACATGAACCAGACATAGCTGACAACTGCGTTTAGATATTAAATTGTCGTTGACCAACCTAGAATAAATCCTTGTACAATGTATCAAGAAAGCGACACGTTTTGACTTAGAACATAAACCGTCATTATTTAACATTCTTTGTACACAAGACAGTGAAAATTTTGCAGATATTTAACTTCAATCTGGTAGACAAATAGTGATCATACTGTACTGTACTTTCGGTTTAGTACAGGCGATTTCGAATGTCGTTTTGCATTGTCCAAATAGATGGTGAACGGACAGACCCTTTATCAGAAAAAGTGTTTTCTCAATGGACTGATCAGTTTATATAGATCATCACAATGAAGAAGTATGGGATAAGTGTAAGGTCATGTTTATAAGAGCCTAACTCATTCATTCCTCGTCAACTCTACGTACAATATCATATTTTCCTTCATGGATAGATAAGCTAGCTCAAAAGAAACTAAAACGTAGGAAATATTTACTGGACTCGTTCTTTACAAGTGTTCATGAAACATACAGGCCTAGGTAACGTCAAGCTCGGAATACGAAATCTCTTTAACGCGAAAGTAAAACCTAACCAAAGCAATTGTTTTAGTACATTGAGAGGACTGAACAGAATCCCAACGACATTGATGGATGAAAATTCTTTTATATCAGTTTACGCCAAAACTAGCAGCTTATCAATACATGATTAAGGTTAACATTTTGGATTCTAATAAGAGCACATTATTTGGTCATAACATTAACAGACAGAACATCTAACCAGACCTTATAATGAATGAAATCATATTCCATTGGCTCAGTAACGTAAAAGCTGGTAAACCTCATTAGCACAACAAGATCAACAACAAATTCATGGAAGTAGTTACTTCAATGATAGTAATATATATAAAAAAACGTTTGTGTATGAGGATATATTACAGGAAGAAAGAATTAATTCGTAGAAAGAAAGATATGAAGTAATTTTAATCTCAAAGTTTAAGGGAAGACAAAGAGTGTATACACCTATACCACTGTGATCGAGTCTGAGTTATGTCACCAAGAATCTCCAACCATTGGTTACGACAGTCACACGGACCCAAACCAAGTAGTCTGCATCTACCAGCATGGCTCAGACTACAAGTTAGTGACTTCAAGCACTGATGCCACGTTTTGGTTTGGTCGCCCCTAACTTTCTTCCAACCATCTCCAACACCGGTTAGCATTGCACGTCGTGGTAATCGGTGTTCAGGTATACGCAGCACGTGGCCCAACCATCTCAGTCGATGAAGATTCACAACCTCATCAACAGACTTGCCACCATTCCCTAATACCCTGCGTCTAACCTCACTATTACTGACCCGGTGATCCCAGCAGATGCTGGCAATATTACTAAGACATCTGTGATCAAATACTAGTAACTTACGAGTGTCTTCTACTCTCAATGACCATGTTTCGCAGCCGTAAATTAAAACAGAACGGACTGCCGCGCAGTATACTCGTCCTTTTATTGATAGACGGATATATCCCCTTCGCCATAGATGACGTAAGTTGGCAAAAGCCAAACGAACTTTTCGAATTCGTGTTGAGATTTCGTCAGACACCAACCCATTAGGGCTGATCAGACTTCCAAAATAAGTGAAGTTGTCAACGCGTTCGACCACTTCACTCCCTGTCCTTAGTTCAGGTGTTAACGTAGACCAGCCCTGAAGCAACAACTTGCATTTAGAGGGAGAGAAGCGCATTCCAAACATTCTGGCATTGTTGCTTAATGCTACCAAAAGACTCTGCATTTTATCAGCGTCTTCACCAAACAGGACTATGTCATCTGAGTATTCTAAGTCGATAAGTGGACCTCCTGGAAGGAGATTAATACCCGAGAATTCAGTCGACGAGAATGTTATTTCCATCAGTAGGTCTATCATGAAGTTAAACAAAAATGGAGAAAGTGGACAGCCTTGACGGACACTTGAGGTTGCAAAAGCAGATGACAGTTCACCGTAATCTCTGACTCGACTGGTAGTGTTCGAGTAAAGAGCCTTCACAAGGTTTATGTACTTCTGGGGTACGCCTTTCAATGACAGACACGACCACAGAATCTCGAGGTCTACAGAGTCAAATGCTGCCTTTAAGTCAAGAAAGACCACCATTGTCGGACGCCGATATGCATGCCTGTGTTCTAGAACCCGATGAACGGTGAATATGTGGTCGATGCAGCTATGACCAGGTCTGAAGCCAGCTTGATTCTCTCGTGTTTGCAGTTCACGAGTCTTAGTTAGGCGACCGATAATTATTGAGGCTAGTATTTTAGATGCTATGTTATTCAAACTAATCCCTCTATGGTTGTCACGGGATGATTTTGACCCTTTCTTATATATTGGGACGATAAGTGATTATGACCAGTCAGATGGATTAACGTCTAAGTCCCAGATCTCAGCTATAATATTAGTCAACTTAATCGCTAAAATTGGAACACCATCCTTAAAGACCTCTGGAGCAAATCTATCTGGACCAGCTGCCCTTCCTCGTTTCAGATTAACTATAGCCTTTTGAACTTTCACTACAGTTGGGGACCTACTTCAATGTTCCATTCACAGTCTCGGAATGGAGGGTAGTTTTACAGTAGCTGAACTGTTCTCAGAAATGTCCCGCCCATCGTTCTAAACGTCTGAACTGGGAGTAGATGAGAGTGTCGTCTTTTTCCGAAATAGTCTGACTTACACTTGACTTACTAACTCCAGTTTCTTTTATTATTCTGTAGAGCTGTCTTGTGTTCCCTATAGCCGCCGCCTTTTCCATCTCTTTTGCTTTCGTTGCCCACCACTGCTCACGGTCGTTCCTTAGACTTTTTCCTAACCTAGATCTGATTTGTTTTCGCTCTTCATCATGTTCAGAGCCTGATGAGGTGAGTTTACGAGAACCCATCAGTGCAATAGACCTTGAAGAAAACCATTGGTTCTTTGTAACCTTGTGATTTAAATCACTGATAGATGTCACTGCTGTTCCTACAGCTGTTTGTATAGCTTTTCAAGCAACATCTGGGTCAACCTCGTTTCCAGAACTACCTAAGTGTGAACTCAGTTGTTCCTGGAACCTACTTTCGGTTTTCTCGCTACTCAACTCAGTTCTAATGGGTCTTTTTACTGAGGCTTTTTTGTGTCCAGTGAGGCGCAAGCAGATGTGTGCCCGTATTAGGGCATGGTCGAAGTCTAAGCAGGTACTCCAGAATGAGCGACAATCTTCTACCGACCCTCTCCAACGATAACTGATGGCAATATGGTCTATTTGAGTCCATCGTTGGCTTGGTGCAGGGGGTCGTCATGCTAGACGATGTCTCTCCTTATGCTTAAAATTAGTGTTTTCTAAAAATAAACGATTGTCTGAGCACAGTTGCAATAGACGATCACCATTATCTCTTCGTTGTGCCGGTATACTAAAATACCCACCTAAATGCCTTTCTGTTTGGTTTAAGCTACCTACATGGGCATTAAAGTCACCTGCTACGAGTACTACGTCTGAACGTTTAGCTTTCTGAAGAAGTTCAGTGAGCTTTCTGTAAAATTCATCTTTCACTTCATCTGAGCTGCAGTTGGTGGAAGCGTAGGCAGAAACGACGAAAAGGCAACGACGTGTGTCCCTATCCTTCCGAGTTCTTACGGAGCCGTTTAGCCGGACAGCACATAAACGACTGTTGACGGGGATCCACTCTAACAGTAATTGTTCCGCCCTCATGCTTAGTGATACGCCTACATCTGCCAGTCCACGAGAACCGGCCATCGGGTCACCCGGTACACAGAGGGTGTATCTAGTTGGCTCTCCGTTTTGCCGATGTGAGGTCAAGTGAATGACCACACTGAAATCCAGTATGCGTGTTCCTGAGACACAGCACACATCAATGGTACGAGATCCTAGGGTTCTAGCCAAGGAAACCTGTTGACCGATTTGACATAGGGTGCGTACGTTGAAGGCTCCAATGTGTAGTTTGGAGCAAGGTCTCAGTAGACCTGGGACAGTGTTTTGAGCACTAGAATCGTCGGCTATGGTGACACTTGAGGGGGAAGACAAAAGAGGAAATTTAGAGTTGAAAGTCGATTTAGGGGAAATAATAAGAATTGAAGAGGGGGATTGATTATGAATACAGTGGTCTTGAGTGCTGTTAGAGGTATGAGGGCGGTTATCACTTCCCGGTTGCACACACCGTGAAAGACCGTATTTTTAGGATGGAAATAGCTTATATCTAGATACTCATCAGTCAAAATAATATGAAGGACAAATTATTAGAAAGAATGGTTAGGGATCATATGTTTATTCAAGGATGGTCATAGTCTGTTGACTTCGGAGCAAAAAGGATTTCGTAAAAGGCATTCCTGATTCACTAATTCACTTACTGTAAAAACTGGACAACAGCATTTACCTATCAATGTACTGACGAATTTCAACGAGTCATTAGAAAAGGTGTCTCACTCAAGAAGTCTTCCAAATCCAAAACAACAAACACAGTAAACTATCGAATCAGAAATTTTCTTTGCAACCGAAAACAGTGGGTTGATAGTAAATAGGATGATGGGTGGGAGTGTGTAGAAAGTAAATTGTAGCTAGGTTTTATCCCGTATCCCCTATTATTTATACTTCATGTCAATTAATCACCAAGACCTTGTAAATAGTCAGTGCTCTTATTTGCAGATGTAAAAACTCCGAGAATAATAATCTTATGAGCTTGATGTCTAGGTTGATTTACATGAATTAATCAAATAGGCACGAAGTTGGTGTTTGGAGACCGAGCTTAAGAAAAATGGGCTAATAAACATCCGTTAATGTAATTCATCAGCATGTCACCAATAGGACAGAAACTCCGCAGGTACAAGAACAAAGAGACCTATGAATAATCGTAAAGAATGATCAATAAAACAAATAAGTGAGACTATAATTTATGGACGACCTTTGAGCGACGCTAAAAAGACTTTGAGAACGTCCATTTACATACTACGGCTAAATGAAGGTTATAAAGCAGTTTCAGGAATTAAAATTATGATTTACATTTGATAGTTAAGTTTAGGAACGAGATTAACGTTTTTCATCATGAACTGACACTAGATATAATGCCAAAACTCTATTTAGCCAAGTGAATGAATTAGTTGGGCGCCAAAGTACAAAACCTGTTATCGTCAACCTGATTGATTTGTCCATAAATTATAGTCGTGAAAACAAATACACAGAATCACCAGCTCCTAAAGGGTCTTATGAACAACTGATACTCCACAAAACCTTCAAATGCTTTGACAAAGATAAATTCCGAATTCTACACACTATCTATGAAATCCCATCTAAAATACTATGTCCAAGCAGTTACTTCATGTTATGCTGAGACGCTTGAGCGTGTTCGACGAGAAAGCACGAAATTGGTGGGAAGCTTTTGATATTATGCGAAAATTGATGTTTAAATCTTCGTGGAACTCAAGGTGAACTCATAGTACCATATCATATGCAGTCCCATACCCTAAATATTACATGAGCTGTGTGTGTTTTATCGCCCTATATGCGAATAAACAATTAGTCAAACACAAAGAGGCTCAAAAACTACGGTTATACAAACAGTGAGACGTCACTTTATTATTTTCCTTATGTCTAGAACTGATCATTTGAGTACATTCCAAGAAAGTTCAAGGATTGAGATTAAATCGTCTACGTTCGGAGTTTTGTTTCGCATACCGAGTAGTGAATTACTGGAATTCTCTACCAGGACATATAATATCAGCACCTTCTGTCGATATATTCAAAACGAGATTGGACCTCCTTAGAAATACAAACTGTAAGGATCAATACAGATCGATAGATAGAAGACATCGGTTGGTATACAGTCCATTGGCGCCCCAAAGTCAAACGCCCTTCACCAAGTTTGAGGGAAAATTTCGGGGTTTTGATGCTATTTCTCTAAAATTTTCTATAGCGGCTTTCCCAAAATGGATCAAATTTCTCCCAAAATTGGGAGATTGGGCGACTACTTCGATGGAGAGAACGAACGTGACAATAATGGTTGGTTCAAGGACTAACATGGGTCAGCAAAGTCGTCATCTTTATTAATGAAGGCTGTTCAATAGTTTATCAACTAAAGTAAGCAGTCCTGTCGCCAGGAGTCAACATTCTACTAAGTCGCAACGTTCATTCTCAGGTTGGCTTGCCTCAAACATAAAGGTTCGTTGTGTGCTGAAGGTAGGTGAAAATCAGCAATAAAACATGCATGAGAGTAAGGCGATCTGATAACCAAAACTAGCTGTCAGTGTGAAATTCTTAACCCGTTACAAGATTATTTACCTAAACAGACGTTACTACCATACTTGTGTAGCCGCTAAAATATCTTGGTTCCAATTATCAATTTCAACATCGAGCTGAAGTTTCGAATGCTGTATCAGACCATCGAATAAACACTAGAAGCTTTCACTTAACTACCAAGAGGTAAATAGTCAATCTCAATTGGTGAATTCTTGGAGGTGACTCTTCGACAGGTGGTTGTGTGCCCAGCTAGATGATCCATGTGTTGAGGGAACGCAATCGAACTGTGTCACAAAGCCTAACAGATTGAAGGCCGTATCACGATACGTAGAAAATAGGTTTTTTTGAAACGTCGATTGCGAATAGACCCATTAACAGCTCTTTCTATTCCCTCGTTACTGCGGAAAACAGGAAAACTGGTCGGCAGTCAGACGCTTTCATCTTGTCAACACCCAAGTTAACAAGTGTAAATATCCTCATGTTGCAGTCAGATGAGTGTTAACTCTCGATCAAAGAATGCCCGAAAATTATTTTGAAGGAGAAAAAGGAGGTATCCTGGTTCTATCAGGACTCTGGACCGGACAACATCTGAGTAAGTAGATATGTGCTTGTTCAAGCGCCCCAGAATCTCCTTGATTTTCAGAAGTCCAAACCTATCAAAACGTCCGTCAGCCTCATTGAAAAGAGTCATAACAGACCGACAATTATTGGACCGTTTCTCTAGTCAGCAGCTTAGCAACCCTATTATGATAACTATCCTGTTGGAGAGTCCAAGTACAGGATATATAACGTTTTGTGTGACTTCTTCATAAATGTAAAAAAGACATATGATTAATTTTCCTAGACTTTGTTCGACGAAACTGATACGTTATTCATCATAATTGACTCGTTAAGGCCATGAATAACGAGACTATTAAAGGATTCTAGATATTTTGATAATAAACGCCTCTCTGAACATAAACCGTTAACTTGAAAATCTCATGTGTACTAAATGTTGATGAAGATGCCACAAGTATTCGGAGTTTGACAAGGCTTTAACCAGTAACATCTTATATGGAGCGTACCCACCAAGTGAAATCAAAAGACAGAAGCGAGGAGATTGGAAGATATATTTGATAGACTATCAATATATCGAGAATCGTCTGATCTAATCTGGCTAGCGATTGCAGTAGATGTTGAGCACGGCGTTCCCACTCGTGATCTGGTGCGGATGCATGACCGAGAGCCTTCAGCTAGGTGAGTCCATTAAAACATGTGGTCAGCATCGAATGTCGAAAACATACAGAGCTATTTAATTTGAGGATTTGTTTAACGCTACATATCACTCCCCTTCAGTGGGGTAGTGATGACCCTAAGACGTGGCCAGCCAGAAGTTTAAACCCAACGAGTTTTATCGTTGGTAAACACTCTTCTGATAGCTTGCTAGGTTTAGCAGCTTCTGGTCGTCCTTTTTTACTATAAGGGACCATGAAGTACAATGTAGTACAAAAAATGATGTACAATGAAAACTTTTGGTTCCTCATAAACCTCATCGTTCTTTTTATCGTCTTTTCCAGACGTCCTGGAAAAGTAAAAAAAAAATATGCATGTGCATATCGAAATAAACTCGTAAGCGCTTTAAGACATAAAGTGGGCGAAAAAAGGAAAATAGCGTTAAAGCGATTTTTGTGAAATGTCTTTTTTTATTTTTTTTAATATACATATTAGCAAAATAATAAATATATATAGACATAAGCATATAAAAATAGATTTTTTTTTAATATTATATGTAATGCCATGGAAAATCGAGATGAAGCAAAATATTAAGTGGTGTCTTATGTGCAATATTCGTTTAAATGTTCCGTAAATCTTACTCTCCTTACAGAACGCATTGTTTTAAGTTTATTTTTAGATACCATCGAAGTGTCATCATGCGTGTTGGTTGTCGAATAAGGTGTTATAAGTGTCGGAGTCGCGTTGTTCGATTGTACCGAAAGAAAATCGACGTGAATATGATTTCCTTCTAAATATGCTGCTTTGAGGCGATCGATGCTGATGCTATCATTGGTTCCGTTCTTATCGACTATATAGTTCTTAGGTTCGCATTGAAGAACTTTGAAAGGTCCCTCGAACACCGATTCGAAAGGTCATCGATGAGAGTCTCGACGTACGAAGACGTGTGTATTATATCGTAAGTCATGTTGAACGAAAACATCAGTTGATTGAGGTCGAGTGGAAGCAGGTTTAACTGAATGCATTGCGTTTGTAAGCCTGTTCGTGTAGGAGGTTAGATCCATGTTCATTGAAGAGGATGAAGGATCCATGAATTTTCCTGGAAGTCGAAGTGTCATTCCACTAACGAGTTGAGCATTGTATCCAATGTCAGCTTTCACTGCATTGCGGATACCTAGTAAGACGAGTGGAAGAGCGTCGGTCCACTGTGAAACGTTTGCAGCTGATAGTGAAGCTTTTAGTTGTTGGTGAAGGCGTTCTACCAACCCGTTTGCTTGTGGGTAGTAGGCAGTCGTTTGGAAGCGAGTGATTCCTAAAAGTGTGGTCAGACGACGGGAAAGTTCGGATTCGAACTGACGTCCGCTGTCTGTAGTGATGGTTGAAGTGCAACCGAAGTTTGCTACCCATCGTTCAACGAAGGCGCGGACCACTGTTTCAGAAGTGATTTCCTTGATAGATACTCTTTCTGGCCATCGAGTGAAACTATTACCGCAGGTTAAGAGATCAGAATATCCTTTTTTAATCTGGTAAAGGTCCTACCAAATCCAGATGAACATGGTCGAAACGAGCATCGGTAGTTTTAAATGAGCCTAAGGGGCATTTATTGTGTCTGATGACCTTAGATTTTTGGCAGCTTACACAGGAGCGTGCCCACTCCCTCACGTCTTTATTCATGCCAGGCCAGCGAAACCGTTCTGCTTTAAGCTTGATGGTTGCACGAAAACCTGGATGAGAAAGTTTGTGAAACGTATTGAAGACGTTGCGTCGATAATGTTTGGCACGATTGGGCGATCCCTACCTGTAGATGTGTCACAAAGTAAGGTTTCCTTACCTGTTCCCATCTGTTTGATGCGTAGTTTAAGGGTTGTGGACGATAACTCGTGCTGAAGATCAGTATCTTCTTTTTGAAGCTGGGCGAGTTTAAGAAGGTCGATTCCTTGGAAACTGTTCAAGGAAGTTTTGCGAGACAAGGCGTTTGCAACTTCATTGTTTGCTCCAGAAATATGTTGAATATCTGAAGTAAACTGCGAAATGTAGTCCAGTTGTCGAGACTCACGGGGAGAGTACTTGTCTGAAGTAGAGCTCAGAGAGAAAATGAGCGGTTTATGGTCAGTGAATAGAGTGAATTCACGGCCTTCGATATAGTGTTGAAAATGCCGTACAGCACAATACATAGCTAGGAGTTCCCTACCGAATGTGCTGTATCTCGATTCGGTGTCTAGCAACCGTCTAGAGAAAAGTGCCAAAGGTTGCCAGGATTGGTTAACCCATTGTTGATCTGTAGCGGTAAATAAATCCCCAAAATAAATAGCTCTGTATGTTTTCGACATTCGATGCTGACCACATGTTTTAATTGACTCACCTAGCTGAAGGCTCTCGGTCATGCATCCGCACCAGATCACGAGTGGGAACGCCGTGCTCAACATCTACTGCAATCGCTAGCCAGATTAGATCAGACGATTCTCGATATATTGATAGTCTATCAAATATATCTTCCAATCTCCTCGCTTCTGTCTTTTGATTTCATTTGGTGGGTACGATTCATAATAGGTGTCACTGTTTAAAGCCTTGTCAAACTCCGAATACCTGTGGCATCTTCATTGATGAGGCCAACGTGATCTGGTGCGGATGCATGACCGAGCGCCTTCAGCTAGGTGAGTCCATTAAAACATGTGGTCAGCATCGAATGTCGAAAACTTACTGAGCTATTTATTTTAAGGATTTGTTTAACGCTAAACTGACTTGGAGGAATTATATTGTTCTTTACAATTGCATTTGTTCTCAATGAGATCTTATACCAGAGTTCTGTGCTAAAAAATTCTAGACCACATTATTATCTGGCTCTTCGCACTAATGATACTTATTATTTATTATTATGGAACTACTTTGTGTGTACAGAATGTCATCAGTCAGACTTTTGAACAGGGTTATGGATTTGCTGAAGTGATTTTATTCACTGTAAAATATAGAATTCTCAGAACGAAGTATTTCCGCAGCATACGACGGGCCTTCGATCCGAGGACGGGTAGGTAATGGTGCCCAAGAGTTTTTACAGTGGCTAAAGATATGACTATTTGTAGTTCGTGTGCCGGGTTGATTGGTTTTCAGTTCATTGATGAATCGGCGTTGGATAGTATCGTGTTATGGATGATTCTAGTCTTTCTAAATGTCAAAATATGCCTTATTATTGATCGACTAATAAAAGAATAACTGGCTTCTAAGTAGAGAACAAACACTCGAATCAGTACACGATCTAGGAATTAATTACACAGGAGGCCTGAACTTTGAAGAAAATGCCTCCTCTATTATTTCTAAATTTAGACGGCTAATTGGTCTCATAATGAGAAATTTTTTTCACATCAGAGGCTAAGCTTACTCTCTACAAAATGTGTGTACGTCCCTCCCTTGAATATTGCTCTTTTGTCTTTTCTAATATGAATATCACAGACAAGATAAGAGTAGAAGATGTTCAAAGACGTTTCACACGCCAACTTCTAGGATGTAACTCGAATCTCGATTACATAGATAGATGTAAGCACCTGTCTTTAGAAACTTTATGAATCCTTAGGCTAAGGTACAACCTAATATTTCTCTACAAATCGATACATGAACTCTCATTTCTAACCTCCTGCCCGACTATGACCCGCGACCCAGCCTATAGACTAAGAAACAACGCATATACACTACTTACCGTAAAACACTAAAACTAAATGCGTTGTAAGTTTTTATATTGCGGTATAGTTTATTGTGGAATAGACTGCCAATGCCGATTCGTAACTGTGATACGTTTACCAGATTCAAAAAGCTAATAACCCTGTTGCTAGACCCTAAAGAGCTTCAACTTTTCCTTGAACTCCCGCCCACCAATG